TAGGCGAGAGCGAGATATCCAAGGGTCTTTACCCGACTCTTAAATCATCCAGCATGACAGAGACACAAAGGCTTGGCTTGACGCAGAGCTGTCAGTTGTCTTTCGAGCTGTTAATCACTGAGATCTGCGAGGGGCAGATCTCTTAACGTTGTAGGAGACGCCTGGCAGCAACAAATGAGCCCCACACTGCGACTCCCACGCAACCGCGCACCTCTAAAGCCCTGCCAATGCCGTGATCCACCTGCAATCACCCTGCAGCAAATACCAGGCGCTCCCCTGTGCAGGCAGCCACACTGTCTGTGTGTGAGAGAAAGAGAGGAGAGGGATGAGAGAATGGCAGGGGGAAAAAGGAAGAAGGGGGTAAGAGTCTGTGTCTGCTATATATTTGTGTGTGTGTGTGTGTGTGTGGGCACGCGCTCAGTGAACTCGGCTTGATGCAGAGGTACTGATTGCAGAGGTGGCGTTGAAATATGACAGCTCTCACTTGTTCTGAAGCCTGCCCTTACAATAAGCCCTGCAAGAAATAGAGAGATCACTCTCACTTTCTCTCAATCTGTGCACACACATACACACACACACACACACACACACACTAAGATGGAACTCTGTTAAGATGTGATTAGGTTGACTGTCAGTTGTGAGGGGTCCTATCAAGGTTCACTGCACGCCAAGCGCGCACAAACGACCATCTTAGCCGGACTGCCTGACAGTCGGCTAGTGGAGGAATGTCGAAGCTGGAAATAACAGCCGGCCCTGACTTACAGCTGGACCGACAACGACTGGTGCGTTGCCAGCTGGGAAAAAAAAAAAGATGGACCTCGAGAGCATGTTGAAAACAGGAAAGAAATACCTGCATCGATCAGCCTGGGTAGGGAAGGTATTAAGAGAGACAGGCCTATTTTGCAGTTGACAGACCAGGGCATCTACTTTGGCTCAGTGTGCACATTGTGTACCCTCTTTCCAGAAAGGGTGAATTGGTGCACTTATTTTGCTTTCGACAAGCTTTTCTTATAGAGGAAGGTTGTTACATTGTTCATGAGGACAGAAGAGATGAAATAGGAATTTTAAACAAGACTAAGAGTCAGCCCTGCTAGTAGCTCTGTGGGGGGTGTACTAAGGTAGAGCAGTGGTTTCAACAGGCTCACAATGACAACACAGCAGGTATAAGTCATGTTAACCATTGTAGTTTGGCGTGTAGCATGGTAACATTTTCTGATTAGCGCTGAACCCAAAATATAGGCGGAATGCTGCTGGTTTGGGAATTAGGTCATCAACCAATGTAGTGGACAAATTAAACATTTGACCTGATTTTGGTGACATATGGAAAGTTAAGGAATCACCAAAATGATTCATTCTGAAGGAGACATGAATGTTTGTACGACACTTCATGGCATTCCATTTGATTCAACCTTGTGGTACTAGATGAAATTTCAGTGCGATGAAATTTAAACAGAAACCAAAAGAAAAGCCCACTGCTCTGAATGCCTGGCCTGTTTACACACTCTCTTTATGTTTTTGTTTTTTTGGCTGTAATATCTTCGCGTATTCTGACATGCAAACGCCAGGTGACCCTTCGTCATCACGGTGACAATGGTCACAGAACCTTTATCGTCACAGTTAGGTGACTTTTGTTGTCATGGTAACAGTAACAAACATGTGAAACAGTTGCAGTAATACTTGCTTAGGTTTAGGAAAAGATCATGGTTAGGGTGATCGTTAGGCCTTTGGAACAATATTTTTTTGTGAAACCTCACACTGAAAAATATTTAAACTTTTGTCTACAAAGCCATTTTATATTTAATAAATAATGGTAAAAAAAAACTTCTCTGTTTCATCAAAGAGTGCATTAACAGCCTTAAAAAGACTAGGTCTAAATACAGCTTTAAATGAGGAATTATCTGTTCAAAGAATAGGTAAACAATACGAGCAAGCATTTGATACCAGCTTCCAGGCAGTTTTGTATACTAGACGCTGCAGACACATTCCTGTAAGTATTACAGTTTATAGCCCAGCCCTACACATGGGTAGAGAGCCAAATTCAAGCGAGGGCACCCCTCAGTTTCAGTCTCTTTATTTATGTCTTGGTCTCTTTATTTCTCTGCTGCAGTAATGGTTAGGATTGATGTGAGTCCCCATGCTAACATAATCAAAATATGTCATTATGAACCAATATGGATGGGGGAAATTGAGTCCCATCTGGAAATGAAAGCAGGGTGGAGAAATAGAAATTCTCACATCAGCTCAGCAGTAAAATTGCTGCCCCACTGAGAGGTAGACACCATAAGCTGGGTCATAGGGACATACATTTATATTGTACAAACACTCTCTCTGCCTTTTAGACACACACACAAACACACACACTAAATGCATGAATTCAACCAGAAAACAGACATGTGTCTGAGAAAGCATGCAAAACATGCATGTACGCTCAAATTGCACAAGCACGCTCTCACCCACACACATTCAAGCACAGTAAATACACACCTTCACAGGCAGCCTGATGCTCAATGAACACGTTATATTTGTGTATGTTAGCCATCATATTTTGTGTGTATGTGCGTGGGCCCCGGCTTGTGGTGTCTGGCTCACAGCAGGCCGGTAAACAACATGCAGCCGAGACGATGTGGGGACTCCAGGCTCCGTGATTCATGCAGACGGGTTGATTAAAGAGCAATCGCAGCCCCCGCAGCGCGAGAAAGGGTGGCATAATCACCGTAAGAAAAACACTGTTTGGTAGCATAAATCTCAGCACGCTTCAGGTTATGAAAGTTTTGAAGGGGGTAAAAAGTTATCAAATGTCTGAGGTTGCCAAAGAGGCCAATGCTACTGCCAGCAGATTCCCACAGAGTGGCCAGACAAATAATGGCAACTGAGTATCTGAGAATAACAATCACTGTGTTCACGGGGAGGGCAGTTCAGCATACACTACTGCCATACAAAAGCTAAAATATTATCAATATTTTTGTAACAGCAATAGACTGAAAGAGCATGTGTAAATGTGAAAGGGGTCTTTTGTAGTGATAAAGCCACAGAGATTTACCAGCAGACCCTGCAGTTCCTGTTAGCTTCACAGGGCATTTTAGCACCTTTAAGCTCATTGTTTTGGTATCATAGCCCGCAACTTTAGTGTTTTCATTTAGTCTCACTGATCCGTGTTTTCAGCTATAAAGCTCTGACAAACCAACTGTACATTACCTACCCCACACTTAACAGCAGACAAAGCTTGCGACTAGCTGGTAGTGGAGCAGTTAAAGGGCCAGATTTATCTCTCGGGAGTTGGTGGAGGGGAAAACAGAGCTACCAGGACACTTTTCAGGTGGACACAAACACAACTCAAAAGAATTCTAATGTTGCTCCATGTCTACTTTGCTACGTTTACCAATACACCTTATAAGATGCTAATTTCTCAATGTTGTGTTACGCTTTTTGCATTGCCTCCAAGTGGCCAAAAAATCAATTAATGCAGGTTTAAAAAAACAATTAAAAACATGGTTTAACAGGAGAGAGATATCCAGCTTTTCAGCAGCTTAATGCTTAACTATGTTCACCATCTAACTGTTGACTTTTTCTGTCTGCTATTTGGTTCTGAGCAGGCAGCATAAAGTGGATTTATTAGAGCCTTTTCACTGCCTGCTGCAACTGACAACGCTGATCAGAGCAGTAACAGTGAATCTAAATAGTAAAGTTGCAGGCTGTAAAACCAAAACAATTACTTAAAATACGCTAAAATGCTTCATGGAGCTGAAAGGAACAGCAGCTCAGGTGACCATCCATCGAGGAGTGACCCCTTTCACATTACACATCCTCTTATCTCCAGCATCATTAAAAATATCAAAGATCTTTTTCGTTTCATAAAATCCCAAAATATAACATGAGCTATTACACACATAAAATAAGATTCAGAAATGTGCTTTGTCTCGTACAAAATAATTAGTTTCCTCACATGTGACTGTATTTACACATCGCCTGGCACCTTTTTCTTAATGTTTTAAATGAGATGTAACTGATTCATAGTAGTTTTGAGGATAATTGGCTTTTTTTTTTTTTTTACAGAAGCCTCTGAACTAATTGAGTGCAGATAGAATGAGCAGACATTTGTTTGTGAACACAAAAACATCTGTGAACAAGTAATTTCATACTTCCATGATTTTCTATTTTTGTAAGCTTTGTGTTTTTTACGTTCTTTTAAACAAATATAACCCCATTTTATTCTGATCTGATATTTTATTTAGTATCTTTCAGGGAATTTGAGCCCTCGCTCAACTCAGCCAAACTACCTTCTTTCTCAGCATTTAATGCAATTTCATCCTATATAAATAAAGCCTGAATATAAATAAAAGGTTGAAAGAATTTGCAGAGCACAGAAAGCATTGATGTGGTTTGTTACAGGAAAAAGAAAGTGGATGTCAAAGTTACAACTACAACAATTGGATCGAAACGTTCTGGGATGAATATAGCTGTTGTTTCCACTGACTGATTTTCATATCTGCTTCAAACATTTAAACCCAGTGTAACAACCGACCTGCTTAAACCAGCGACTGACATGGTACAAAAAGAGAATGCTTATGGATGCAGAAGAACATGATGAATAATCTCAAATGATATCTTATTTTTTATGACCCGTGTGCAAAGGACACACATTTGTTTCTGAGTCAGGTGAAGCCTTCAAACCATTTCTCGCTGTTCTGTGCATCAGGTATTACATTGTGCAAGTGGTGGCTGATTATTATCAAACTGAATGTGACTGTGCCATCACTCATCTTTAAGTCCACCCGCCAAATCTCTGCAACATCAGAGCAGCGTTTTGACCAGACCTCTGTGGAGAACACCTACACTGTTCTCTCTTAACAAGCAAAGCCTCTTGCTATCTAGACTGCACCCACGCTCACCCTACAAGCATCCTCTTCTCTCCCTCTTCACCCTACGCTCCTCTCCCCCGGGCCTGCAGACAACGTGCCGCATTATCGATAGACAGAATGTAGGAAAGAAAAGACAGACCGTCAGATGATCAAGTTGTATTACCATAACCATACAGGAGAGATAAAAATGACCACTTACAACGTGACTGAATAACATGTTTTACGTACACACAGAGGCATGTTTTCATAGCGTTAACATGAATGGAATGCACATGAAAAATGTGTCTCGGTATGATTCAGCAGCAGTAAACATAACAAGCGGAGAGTGTGTCAGGGAGAAGTGCAGAAGACATCTGACCATCAATTACTAATGCCTGATAGAAAATCTCATAATGTGGATCCAAGGGTGACTGGCACAATCCTATGGTATATCCAAACATAGAAATAACATGTCACAACAGATCCACTGTACACCTGACAAAATGTAAAATCATATATTACGAACCATAATAACTTAAATAAAGGAGTATGAAACCAGATGCCTTTTAAAATACAACATATAAGCAAGCTAGAAACGCCATTGTCCTTTCCTGTTCTCTTGATGGCTTGTAGCTTTAGAGGTTTCAAAAGGAAAACACTCGACAAAATGACAACATATTACATCAAAAAGTCTTCAGATGCTCTGTAATGTGCATTGTCTTTCCAGTTCCAATGTGATCAGTTACATGATGACTTGACCACTTTGGCAGATGAGCGTCAGCAGACACATTGCCTTCTTTAACAATAAAGAGTTTGTGGTTTCTCTCTTTTACTTCTTTACAAAATTCATTAGTCAAGTACTCCAGGAAGAAAACACACAAGTGTTGAGCACAGTTCTGTGTGTTGTGAGTAATCGCTCCCAAATGGCCTCTGTGGTTGTGTTTCCTTCGGAGGCCCGAAGCCACAGACTCCCTCTCTACGGCCTCTTGCTGGAGCAGGACTTGCAGCACTGCTGTCCATAGAACTTGTGGTTACAAACGCCGTGCTGAGGAACCAAGTGACACCAGCTGAAATGGTCCACGCAGTGTTCGTCTGCAGAGACAGCAAAAAGTGAGGCACGTTTTTAGCAGCAGTTCACACCAAGGCTGCAACTCATGATGATATTCATTTGTTTCATATGTGGATAATTCTTCAGGGTCATTCCTATGTTCCCCAGATTTATTAGGCACATAATGGGAACATGGCAAAGGGTCACATGTTCCCAGGGTACTATGTATGGTCGGGGTTAGGGAACTATACTCCCAATTTTGATTCACTGATTAATCATTCTGCCTGGAAATAATCAGAAAACCATTAAAAATAGCCATCATATTTCCAAGAAACCAAGGTTACGTTTTTCAGTTGGTTGGAACCCAAAGAAATTCATTTTACAACGAAAAACAAAAGTAATAAATTCAAGAAGCTGGAAATATTTTGGCATTAGTATAGGGCTGCAACTAATCATTATTTTTATTATTGATTATCTCTCTGTCTTTTCTTGATTAAGCAATTAGTTGTGAAATTAGTGAAAAATGTTGATCACGGTTTGTCACAGTCTAAGGTGATGTCCTCAAATGTCTGATTTTGTCCACAAAAGATATTCAGTTTACTGTCACAGAGGGCTGGAATTAGATATTTTTTCTTCTTCTGATGACTCAAAACAATTAATCGATTGTCTAAATAGTTGGCGACTGACTTGACAACTAATCGATTAATCATTGCAGTTCTAAATTAGTAGTTGATTGCTGGCTTGGACTGGTTACTGGGATTTCATGGTTATAAGGAAATGATATTGGATGAATTTGTCTTTTTCCCTTAGAGGAATTTACCTTTCAATGTCGGTCCAACAGCTGTGACCCGGCTGGGGCGTTGTGCCGGTGCCGGGGGCGCAGCTGGACAGAAGTGTGTGTTGCAGGCCCTAGAAGTGACGGGCCTCTGGTGGGGCAGGCAGCCAGCTGCAGGGCGACCTTGCCGGAGACACTGAATGGACCGAGTCTGGACTCCTCCGCCACAGGAAACAGAGCACTATCACAGAGGCAGGAGAGGAACAGAAGAGAGATGGGAAAAAAAGGGCGGGATGAGAAGAAGAGAAATGAGAAAAAAGGCACAGGGATATAAATAGGAGAAGGAGATCAAACGTTGAAGCGCATGGAGTAAAAGGAACCATCATAAAAGGAGCAGAGGAGGGAGGGGAAAGGATGGAGGAAAAGTCTACGCAGAGACAAAGAACAGATGAAGAAAACAAACATCCCATCTAGCATGTACTCGCCCTCCAGCTAGCTGTCAGGAGATATCTTCTCTGGTGGAAACATACAGGGATCACAAGCTTGAGATGAAGCAGAATAAGACACTGTGCTATAAGAGGCTGCCCTTAAGACTTTTTGCATAATAGATGATATAACACATAGCCTACACAACCTGCCCCGATAGGCTCTGTCGGAGAATGGAGCTTTTGGATTGCATCTGAGGCCCGTTCCACATAGCCAGCCACTGTTTCTACGTTTCTGAACTAGCACCACCTACACTGTGCAGTCTGCCTCTGAGGTTTTTGGGGAAACATGGATATTGGAACACAAGAGCCACTCTGGTCATACATCTTGTATTGATTAGTTTTGGCCCAGACATTGTGTTGCTGTCCTCATCATGCCAGGGCCTCCCACAGACAGGGGCCTGGTAAACAAAAAGCAATGAAGGGAGAGCTGCTGGGGTGGAAAATAGATGTTGTGAATCTGTCCATTTTCAGTAGATTTGTTAGTGTAGAAGCAACAATGGGGTGATTTTGCTCGTAGCAACTTTTGAAGAAAGCTTATCTTTTGACAGCACAGAGAGCATAACACCAGCTCCCCAATAATTTTATTCTAGTCCATTTTCAATGAACTGTTCTCTAAGACCCGATGGACCAGGTACTGTTGCTGGGTCCTGTCAGGCTTTCTGTTCTTGTACGCAACATAGATTTAACCACTTAAAATGTGTAGACATTTTGTCTTAAACAATTGCCACCTTAAATGACTACTGTCGCTTGCAGATTTATCAGTTGTAACTAGCTAGTTAATAAGCTAAGGTTAACTCCATGAGTTGGATGGAAACACCATCCCTGGGTGACGTTGCTGACAACCCAGCTAACATTTATGTTAACTCAGGCATCCAGGACCATAACCTGCAACCAATTAATGCAGTTAGCTGATGATTTGCTATGATGATATATGGTCCATGTATTACGTCTAACCTTTTATGCACAACCTCCAAAGTGCCACACTTAGGTCACAAGATGACAGCTGCACAAACTCTACATGCTGAGGAAGACTGCGAGATACAGTTAAAAGCTCAGGATTATGGAAACCAGTGGACCTTGAATTAAATTACTATTTTGTGTCAAAGCACCAATTTAAACACGGAAAAATGCACACATACACCACAGAATATTGGCTTTCATGTTTTCAGCCATCCTCCCAAACACAGATAAAATCAGTTATTTCACTGTCTGTCCATGTCCAGGTAACTGATGTCAGATCTAAGTGTCATCGAAGTGGCTATAATGACAAATTCTAGTTTGAACAGCCAGTCATGCATTACATGTCCTGGGATGCAATTTTCTACCAAATATCCGTTTAGTGTACTCCACAGTTGTGTCACATGTGGGAGAAAAGCTCCAAATTGGAAGACTGACAGCTGGAACACATATGTAGCACTAAAAGTCTCTCATGTAGACAGTTTTGGATCAAAGCATGAGCAAATGTACCTGTTGCCAGGGAGAGGAGTACCAGCCTAAGACCACAGCAGTGGAGGTGGTTCTGCCAGGGACGACCCGGGGGAGCTCTGGGCACGGACCTCGGTTGCAGCCCTGCTGGAGATCCACCAAAGGTTTGGCCGTATTCCTGCACCTCCGTATGGGGAATTCCACATACCTGTGCAGGAGAGAACAGGTTGTCAAAATGACAACTATTATAGAGCTTCCAATTTTGAAAACATTTGGATTGTGACTCAGAGGATAGTACACAGATGACACAGTGGGGTCTTAAGTATCTGTGCAGATCTTTTAAAGTGTGAGGGATGTGCAGTTGGAGGCACATACCCTCCCTGCGAGTCTCTCTCCCCGCAGTGAAGCTCTCGTTTCTGGATGCCTGAGCCACAAGACCTGGAGCACTGAAACAGAGAGGAGGCAGGAGGGACAGTTTTAGAAAATGAACTCTGTGATTGTGATTGTGATTGTGTGTGTGTGTGTGTGTGTGTGTGTGTGTGTGTGTGTGTGTGTGTGTGTGTGTGTGTGTGTGTAATGCGCTGGGTTCCCATAGCAGCAGACACCACAAGGTCACTTGTCATTGTAGTAATGGAGCCAAAACACTAAGCGCTCCACTGAGTATTTTTCAGTCACTATATTTTATAGGCACACAGTGTATATGGACATGTGTACGTGTGTGTATGTCTGGCTCTTCTTCAAAATCCAAACCACAGTGTATTCTGGGAACGAAGTATCCACTTTGTTTTATCTTGCTAGTCTTTTGCTGCAAACCTAACCAATACACTGACCTCCATACACTTCAGTACGCTGACATACACTGACACTATATCCAGCAACGTGAACTATTTAGTGTGTAAATGAGTGCCTCAAACTACTGAACTTTACATAACCAAGAACAAAGAGGAACTTGGACCACAGAGATGGGTAAAAATGCATTATTCTCAAAACACTAAAAGAATATGCCATCTGAATTGATGACCAATGGCCATCATCATCAAATACTTGTTGGTGGAGGATGTTGATTAACTTTGGGGTGAGCCAACATATGTTGGAAAACTGTAAGCCAGTCCATAATGGAGTATATTATCTGACAGTATGGAACTCTTAATTCAATTTGGAAACTTCAGCAGATTGACCTGTGAGTGGTGGTTGATGGCCTGGCTTTTGCAAACGCTTCCCAATTATTAAATTAATGGAGTTTGTATGGTCTACTGTATATTATCATTGTCAGTGTATTAAGTGTTTTAAACAGATGGCTCTTTTTTGGGCTACAACTAACTACTATATAAATTATCACTCTAGATTATTCCTTTTTTTCCTAAAACTGCCTCCCTTACTTCCAATCCAGTTTGTCCATTTCCAACTTTTGCCAATTTGCCTTTCAACAAACTCAGTGAAGGGATATGAAGTTGAGCAGCGCTGATAGTTTTTCCAGTGCACGCAAAGTGATTGACTTGATGTTGTATTGCATTGTGGTCTGTTGAGGCTGCTCTGGCTGTGAAACTGCTTTCTCTGTTCTATGATGGATTCCTCCCTGCATGATTGTTAAATGTCTTTGAAAAATGGGAGCACTAGACAGAATCCTTTGTTTCCTTACTTTTGAAGGACTCACATCAAAGCTTGATGTTTACTCCTGATGTTTTATGAAGCTGCGAGTCGTAGCTGTGCTGGAAATCTTTCACTGTGAGGTTATGTCTTCCAAATCTGGAGACATAAACCACTACCAGGCAACAAAATGGACCAGCAAAGCAAGGTGCATCATCAAAAGATGTTTCTTATAACAGATTTCAAATGCTTTAGGATGGACTTTCCCTTAAAGTTATTCAACTGAAAACAACGTGTCACTTCTACTGGCTACTGCTTCGTGACCTTCATGTCTGTTCTTTAAAATCCTACCTCTCCCCAGGGAGTGGGGATCCACTGCAGCCTTTCGTTCTTGGGGCAGCGCCGCAGAACGCAGGTCTCTTGGGCTTTGGGTTTGTGGTGCTGTCTGCACATGCTGTCGGGCACCACCACAGCTTTGGCCCCAGGATCAGTGCTGCGGCAAAACACGCTCCGCTTCCTCAGTCCACGGCCACAGGTCTTAGAGCACTGCGAGCAGACAAGGAAAGAGAAAGAAGTTATTGTGGAAGAAAAAAGTAAGGTGACTGCAACCTCAGAGATTAGTGATTCAATAAGCAAAGGTTTCATCACATACGCAAATTAAATAATACATGCATGCACACACTCGGTAACCTAGCCTTATACCGTCTCATGATTGTTTTAACCTTCAGCTTTCATCACATTTAAGCACTAGGCCGTATTAACAGAGGTTAAATCCTTGGCAGGGACACTGTAAATGCATTTGTAATTCTCCACATGGTGTACAAGCAAACAGAAGGTCACCGGTTTGATGACAACCCATTATGGCCTAACATTAAATACAATAAACCAATAACTCGTCGATGAATGTGACCCCAGCCCATCAAAGTATCCACCAACAGCAAACAGCGCTGCTGTAAACTCCCACTGATATGAGATGGACAACAGAGTCAAACTGCTCCACGGGGACCGACGGCCACAGCCGTTAGAGCCGTTTATGCGACAACATCACATTAATTTATTATACAAAAGACACATACACATCTGCGTATTCCCATTTACATACACAAACAGGCACACACGTCCCAGTTGTCCTTTCGTCACTGAAAGGTCCGATTGATCTTTTGAGGGAGACTGGCCTTGTCTCTGCGTGACCGTCGGCTGAACTTGGACCGGTGTCGCAAAATAGTCCAGGCACACAACAAGAGTGTCCTAAAGAATGATGACTGAATGACAGCTGAATGTCCAAACGGGGCAGGTCACACCAGCTAATCATTCCAGAAAGTTTGACAAAGTGTCAGATCTGCTGCCAGGCTATTAATATTGTATGCAGGAAAATGAGCAGATAAAAGCTCTGCCTAGTGTGTGATGCACTGTGGTTACAGAGGAACCAGCCAAAACTTTCAAGTCTTTTATGATCACTATTGTGAGGCTGTTTTATGATTGATGGGTGTGTTTGTTTGCTACATGCAGGTAGCATTCATTGTGATTCAATTGTTCAAATTCAATTCCCCAAAGAAGAACAAGGGAAAAAGAGAAATGTATTTGTGATTGCAATCAAAATAGAAGACTAGGATTTTTTTTTAAACAGCAGTTAAAGAGAGTTAAAATGCAAATGCCACAGAATAAAAGTTGAATATGGCTCATTCTCTAGACAAGTTAGCACACATAAATTGTCATTTATTTGAATGTTTTCCACATGTCCAACAGAGGGCAGCAGAGTGTTTGTTTTAGCTTGAGTGAAACATGACAGCTGTGTGTGAGAGTGTGTGTGTGTGTGAATCTCCTCTCAGGCACGGGCGTGTTTTTGTCCTGCAAATGTCTAAACATGTCACCGTGTTTAACCTGAGGTTGGCGATGACTTTTATCCAATACATTAATAATGACAGTGGGCACACATAACCTGTAAACCAGAGGCAGAGTATAACCTGTTTTCCTTTTAAACTTATCCTCAACACTTCTCCACTTTCTAGGGTTGAACAGAAAGCATAGAAGTCGCATGTCATAGTTGGAAAAAAACAGGTGAAAATAATAAAATGAATGATGGCTGAATTCCATTTAGCTGCTTCAGTTTCAGGGTCCATGTTATTGTGCATCCTGATTCACTGTCACACTGTCATAGCTTACTGGGACACATGGATAGAACAGAGCCATTGCTTATGTTATTAGTAACACCTGTGCTTTTACAGTTAGTATGATAAATTAAAATGTCTGCTGTGAACAGATGAGGCAGATTTAAATGCCGTTGTGCAGGCATTTAGTCATAAACTCAAATAAAACAAACTCTTTAATTAAACCTGGCATGTTCGATAAAAAAAATGCTAATATGATTTAGCCATGTTGCTAGGCTTTTCAAATGTTGCCATAAACCCACCTGTGACCAGGATCCGGTGCTCCACTCGGGCGGGCAGGCCTGGGTGTGGCAGGGCTGGACCTGGGCCGGAGAGATGACGGGACAGAGGGAGTGCGCCACCACCTCTTCCCTCTGGTAAGTCACCTTCCTCAGGCAGCGCAGCGTCCTGGTCTGCTGACCTCCTCCACACGAGCGACTGCAGGACCCCCAGTCTCCTGTGGCCCAGCTGTAGAGGGACACCAAGAGGGAAATGGTGAGGTGGGACACCCAAGGAAAATGTAACATGTGCAACAGTCAACAGATGAAAGCAGTGCACCCGGTCAGGACAGCCAACCACAGGTTCAAACCTGCTGCATTTATTTTGGGCCTAAACACAGATTTTCACCCTGAATTGCCAGTGAGTACTCTGGGATCACACAGAGGACTTTTGAAAACCACTTATTATTAGGTGGTTATAAACTCCAAGTGGTGAACTAGCTGGTTCTTTCTTGCTTTTCTCAACAGTTATGATTCATGAAAGCTTAGAGCTGCTGCGTTTAAAATACTCACAATATTTTCACACATTGATCTCTGTCATTTCACAAATTGGTAGGTAAGGGCAGACAAAGAAAATACACAAGCCAAAATATATATACATGTCCATCCATCTCTCTCCGTACTGTACGTATGTGAAACTAAACATGAAAACCATATTGTATATACAGCTCTCCATAAAAGCTTTCCCAGGTCTCCAAGGCCGACCGCAATATACAACATACAATGAGGCTACATACAGTACAGACGGGGGCTACACTCCCTCTCTCCTCTCTTTTGTCATCTGCTGTTTTTTTACGTTCCTCTTTCTTTCTCTTCTCACCTGTCCTCTCTCCCCTCATCATTTTATTTCCAATCTCCTCTCTTTTTGTCTATGTTTCTTTGTCTCTCCTGTCCTCTTCTCTCCTCTAGTGTCTCTGAAATCCTGCTTTGCCACTGATGAAAGCCTACTGCTGCTTCTAAAATAGCTTCTGTCTTGGCATCGGGGCTGAAGGGGGAGATTACAGCAAATGAGTGGTCTGACAACCACAGGCTTAGAAAAGGGAGATGGGCAGATGGCTCAGTCCAGTTCTGAGACGACATGCTGCCGCAAAGACCATTCCTCCACGCCGCCGACCTGCTTCAGGGGAAGAAAAAATGCTTTCATTCTCTCTCAAGCGCCACAGACAAATGAAGCAGAAGGACTAAACTGCAATTTGGAAATGGGAAAGATGTGAACCATTGGGACACGAAAGCATCGGTTTTGGATTTTTGGGGACTGTTTGCTTTTTTTTCCATCTGTTTTGCCTGGCTTATAAATAACAATATATCATTGGGGGAAAGTGCCACTCTGCTTCGCTGCAAACCACCACTGACCTAGCTGTAATTTGTATCTCTGAAATGTTTCAATAACTGACATATTTTGAGGTAGAAGAGTGCAATACTGCTGCAAGGGTGGTTCTGAGAAGCTCACCCATGATTTTTTTAAGTACTTGTATGGCTGCATACCAGTTACCACCAATGAATGAACATTTATTCCTAACCTAATATTGAGTCTGATTGGAAGCCAGCAGTTCTTCAAGTGTTTCTGCTTAATTATATACCAAAATGACCACCTCTACCAAAAAGGCTGCTATACATTGGTTTTGAAAAGTGCTGTATAAATAAATGTATTATTATTATATTCTTATTATACCCATATTAACCAGGACTCAAAGTATTTTTAAACCCAGATTCATACATTTTTACATTTGTGTGCTTTGGTGTGCTTTGTTGAAGATTTGCCATCTGTATTCATTTTGCTTGCAAAATCATCCCTTCTATCTCTGTCCTTGTATTTGGACTTTTCTCAGTATTTCACTCCAATATGGTCGTTCGATGGTCTCCAACATTAACATTTCTTTCTTTGAGTTCTTTACAATGTTGGTATTTGGTCGTGTTGCAGTTGTACCAATAGACGGTTTCTAAGTGTATATATAAGACAAAAATTAAAATCATTTGCTGTTACAACCTACTCACAAACTTCAGAATAAAAGCTATTTATCAAAATCTATAAAACACATATTTAAAACTACTACCAAAGACTTAAATAGAATTTGATGTGGGTGGAAACAACAAGATGAAAGCAGCTCATTTCAGTCCATGTGGTAGAATACCCCTTAATACATGCTTCTTCTGGCCTTGTCAACCTAGTGAATGACCTTGTTCTTATTATTTAATTCACTCATTGTATATTTTAAAACCTTGTAAATGTAGTAGAGTTGTTGATTTCATATGTTAATTGTTACTGGAGGTCCTAATTTCAGTAAAATTAACTTTTTTATAAAAATGTATGTTTGATTAATGTGTGTTATTATTCCTTTTACTCGTATGTTGCCTCTTAAGGGCATTCTTCAGTGTACTTCTTACAATTTTGATGAATACAGGCCCTGGTCAGTGTCTCGTGCATACAATTTTGTCTCTATTTCTCTGCACATCTTCTCTGGCACAGGAACAACATGTCTCACTTTGATCTGTCTACATATCCCGCTGGGTGATGTACAGAGAAATCCCGAACCTGCGGTAAGTGACTCTACAGATGGCCTCTGCCAAGAGAAAGAGCAAAATAACAGCAGAGATGAAACTACAGAGGAAGAGAAGACAGAGAGGCAAAAGGAAGTGGGGATGGGGCTGCGTTGTGGAGAAAGCGAAAAAAAAAAGGACATTAACTTTTAAGAAAATGTATGAGATATGAGCATATCTCGTCCTAACTGCACGCTGGGGTGGAAGATTGAACTGGCAACTTAAAATTCTCTTTGCATCCCCCTTTAATGTTCAGAAACTGCTGCTACACCTCAGTTGAGTATCCCCGTCTTCCCTGTCAGGCTAACAGCAACATGGGGAGTGGAGGTTTAAAGCAGGTCTAAAGTCTAAAGCAAAGGGGGGTAGATGGGAATGAAGGGTTGAGGGTGTGGGGAGAGTTTGACTGGCTCTGCATGGCTAGACTGGCCGGGCCCCGTGGGAATCCCGCCGTCTCTGCACAATAAAACATGGATAGGCCTGTCAGCACCCGAGATACACGCTGCAGAGATAAGCAGGCACTTTTACATTCCCCCTCCTGTCAGACACGCTCGCACACAAACACTCACACACAGAGCGCACATGCATCCCACCTCATTGTCAATTTTGCTTTTCTCTGCCGGGCTCTTGAATGCGTGCCCATACATCCTGGAGGTCTTAATGCCGTCATTAAAGCTTTCATGCTGCTCACTCAACTCAACTCTCTTCCTGTGCAGCACCCATAAATTGGCCCATACACACAACCAGCTGAGAAATGCTGTCAGCTACTGTATAATAAGATCCACTGGTGTCACACACACTGCTTTATATTCCTGAATGGACGACCACACTTGCTATTTATCTGGGCTATACCGTTTTCTTCCCTCAAACAAAGGGGGAGGTCAAGACACGCAACAAAGCTGTTTAATACCTTTCGCCAAGATAAGAGAAATGGTATGCCCAAGATTAGGGCCAGGAAATGCCCTCTCGGGTGGTGGGAAACTTGGTGAGAAACAGAGGCTGTATGTTGGAGGTGTAACCGATAGCTGTCTGGCTTGTTCAACCCCTGACACAGGAGAAAGTTCAGTCTGGACTTGTTGTGGCATGGCTAATGGTGGACAAAATGACAACATCATTAACATCAAACACATATAGCCTGCGTTTCTATTTTTACCCCCTGGATTGGATCAGAAATCATACATATGGAAAATGTGTGTGTGCATGCTGCCCTGTGTGTGTGTGTGTGTGTGTGTGTGTGTGTGTGCATTTGGGTGTATGTGTGTGTACTCTCTCTGAACCCAAGACACGGTTCCCTGCCTGTTCTGTGGAGCAGTGCTGTAAATCAAGCTAGCTCCAGTTCCCTCAGCCAAAGGCCTACATAGGAGAGAGGCCATTTATTCAGTGCTGTTTCAACTTGTTACTCCACTGCACTTTAGCCTGGTTTCCTCCTTTGCTTGCTGCTCTCGTCCCTGAATGTGCAGTCCTTTAAAAATGCATGCCATTAAGCACAATGTTTAGACAATGGAGATAAAACACGGGCATGATTTCACCACTGAGAAAGTGAGGAAGGCTTTGGGCTGAGAATTTCTGAGAAGGATGATGTGCACTGAAAGCAGCAATCACTCCGAGTTGGCTCCCTCCCTCTCTTTAGCCTTGTCTTTCTTTATTTTCTTTCTCTTTCCTTTTCTCAAGTGTCCACTAAAGCAAAAGGCCCATTCCAGACTTGGAAACACCATCTTGTATTTACTTCATGACAAAAACAATTAACCAATCGGTTGAACCTTTTGTCGAGGGGTCTAGACTGGGAATGACAGGGCCGTAGTTAGGGTTTTAGAAATACTGAGGTCACAAGTCCAAATTCCCAAACAGAACCCCACCTATCTAAGAAATGTTTGCCAACAGCTTAACTTTGCAAAAAATTCTGGGTATTTAAAAACAAGACTAAGAGGCTATGCTATCAGCTCTGTGAGGCTGTACATAGGCACCGCAGCTCTTTGAGCTACGTGACGATGACAGCATCCTCATAATTATGATGCCAACAAGATGATGTTTAGCATTTAAAACACTTACCGTGTTCACATCTTAGTTTGCATGTAAGCAAGCTACCAATTGCTAATTAGCTCTAAACACAAACTACACCTAAGGCTGATGGGAACGTCTAGAGACACACATTTTACGCTTTATTAATTGATTTGACTGTTCCCTTTCTTTTTCTCTATGTATCTATGTATCTTCACATCATACATCATGTCTGAAAGTAGTTTCAAAGACCGCTCTACACCGCCAGATATGTGTTTTGTTCTATTTATTATAGAAAATTAGGTAAATTAGATCATTAGAGATATTTAAATAGTTATTTTGTCTACAAAATATAAGAATCAGCATTAAAATTCCAACAGTCTGTATTCCCAGTAATATTACTGAGGACATGGTCTTGGTGACCTCAATGGTCTGAGGCCAGGGCTGGGAACACACAGCGTACAATTTACTTTGAACAAGTGAAGAACACTTAGAATAATGCAATCTTAAATGAAGAGTCCTTGACAGTAATGACAAAAGAAAATGATTTCTTGCATATTTAAAACAATTATGTTTAAAACTGTAATGCATTTAGGTTTGGCGGTCCTCTACTGGTTAAGGCTTGCCAGGCTAAGACAATACACATTAAATTAAAAGCCTTTTCTCAGGAAGTAGTAGAGCAAAGCTTCACATCACAGACAAAAACAAAACAGACGTTACATGATCCTGTCATGTCAGTGGGATTAAAATCCACTTTACACTCAGATGGACACACAGCTGGAGCAAGCACTACAATGGAAAAAGTAAAGGCTGATCCAAAAGACAGCAGATAGGGAGCACTTTAATATGTTTTCTCAAAAAGGAAAATGGAAAAGAAATGAAAAATTAGAGAGTGGGCAGAGAAGAGAGGAGGACAGAGAGAGGAGAAGAACACAGGCTGAGCAGAGTGGTGGCTGGCCACAGTAAATGGACCACAGGCAACCTCTAGACTGCTCAACCACAGTGTGTGTGTGTGCCTGTAATAAAAACAGCGCCTAAGGTTCCTGAAAATTTGGCAACATACAGACACATGCCACATATCCCACAGCCAACTGTACACGAAGAAATGCCCTGACCAGCACACACAAACACACACACAGCAGCAGCAGCAGCAGCAGCACTTACTATGCAGGGCATGGCTGTGTGTTGCAGAGATGGGAGCCCAGTGTTGGTCTGGTGTGGGGATTACACATGGTGGAGTTGACCTGAACCTTCTGGTCCTGCAGACAGATAGCCTTGGTGGAGATGCGACCTGATGGGAAAACAGGAAGAGAGAAAGAGAGAGCTTGAGGCGGGGGGAGTGGAGCTACAAGGAGGTCACCACACAGGCACACATGCACACACACACTTGTCATAAATCCACTGACAAGTGAGCAGGGGTTGCTGTGTGTCTTTTGGGACCAACAGAGTCTGAACTTCTCAGTTGACAAAGGTGCTTTTCAATAGCCTTAACACACTTCTTTGAGCAGACTGGACAACAGGAATTACACACAATACAAAAGCATCTTCAAACACATACACACACAGGCAGACACCACATACACAAACATAGAGATAATATCTAACTGATTTGACGGTTCACCAGCCCACCAGGATTTGTCCCCCTATGTCCAATGGCCAGTACACCACCTCCACCTGCTGTGTCTAGTTGCAGCATGATAGGAAAACTGCTGTTCAGTGGAGGGGTTTAGTGAACAGTCAACTCATGTACACAACACATACAGAGTTCCTCTAGTTTCATTACTCAAACAAACATGAGCAATCCCACATACGAACACAAACAGTCTCACCTCCAGCACAAGGAGCAGAGCAGTCAGAGCGCACCACACCCCAGCTGTAGTCGGGTTTCCTCTCAGTGCGAGGCAGGGTGTACTCCCACACCACTCCCGGGTTCTTTCCCTGCAGAAGGATCTGTCAGGCAAGAGCACAGTAAGTCAGAACAGTGTCACTTGTGAATATAGTTTGTCTTATCACCGTTATCCACCCAGGGGAAGCAGCACACATCACCCTGTTTCACATAAACATCAGGTTTAAAGATCTTCACATTAAACTGGGAGTCATCAAACACTTTTTTCCAGGCGGCTCTAGGGGTTCAAACCAGCAGCTTTCCTCCCCTTAATCTTCACGCTGCCAGTATATACTCTAATATGTTACACATTAATACACAATAATACACAATTAGAAGCATTTAGGACATAGGGTCAACAATTATAGCCAAGATAAGTTTTTGCTGGAGAACACCACAATTATGGTTGTCCACTTTCCCTTTCTCTTTCTTTACTTTCATTATTGATAAATCTGTCATTTTAACTTAAAGCTCCAGTGTGTAACATTTAGGAGGATCTTTTAACAGAAATGGAATATAATATTCATAGGTATGTTTTTATTAGTAATGAATTAATATAGGAATTGTTCTGTTTTCGCTGAGAATGAGACGTTTTTATCACACCATGGGTCACCTTCAATGGAGTCTGCCATAGCTGCCATGTTTCTACAATAGCCCAACACGGACAAACCAAACACTGGCTATAGATTGGGCCTTAACATCTAGATGCCACCAAATCACACCGGTCATTTAGCAATTCATTGTTTTATTTAGAAAATGTTAGGATATATTTACAATTATCCTTTACAATTGTCTGGAAGCATCTTAAAATTACCTGTAAAATTGCCTGACAGTCCAAAACTAAAAGACAATTAAAAATTATATTAAAGATTGAAAAAACACCAACTCTTTACATTTGAGATCAATTTTTAATTCATTGTTTCAGCATTCCGTAATTTCTGGACCATCTGCTACTATAATTTCAAAAACAGCCACACTAAATAACAATAAAAAGTCTTCCCCTACATACAGTATGATGTATACCCTCTGTTTCAGCCAGTAATAAATATGTCACAATATTTTCTTCTGTATTGGTAGGAGTCCAATAATCTATAGAGTATGTCCTACACTGTATAAATAAAAAAGGGCATGACAGGAGCGCAGTGAAAGGAGTGCAGAAACAAATGGTCCATATGTTATGGATTCCACTACCAGAAACTTAAAGTAAGATCGCTGACAACGTGGCGGCCTAATTCAGCCATTTAGGTCCCACTGAGCTGTTAGATCTGCTACCCACTAACCAGGAGGCTCTAGAGACATTACAGAGTGCTTTGTTCCTTCTCTAGTCCAAACTGGCTGACCACACTATTATAAGGTCATTATATTTGGACATTACAGTGCACATATGAGGGACAATTTCCATTTTCTTTCGAAAGTTAGCTCTTTTTTACCACATCCTTTCTACTGGCCAGTTACCTTTTCCCAGATTTATTTGGACATTCAAGTCAAGCAGAGACTAACGGATGAATAAAAGCAGACATACCCATTACAGGAGAAGCATCAGACTATCATTAAAGCAACCCCATGAGGATTCACTGCCATGGTGAAGAATTTTGTTTGAGGTGAATTTACATAGTCAGCTCATAGTGTGTCATTTTAAACCATTCAAAAACACTGCACTGGATTGTGTTCAGTATAGTTATGTTATGTTTTACAGCTCACCTCAGTTTAGTTCAGGTTGGGCGAGTATTAATCCTCAATCCATTTGGCAAATTGTATTAAGTCCAACTGTCAACAGCCATTCCAATGCCTGACAAACATATCAAGTCTATCAATATCTGCAATAATGAGCTTTGACAAGTGTATTTTCTTTGGGGTGTATCCTAAAGTACAAGGAATCTACCATCAACCATCCAACTTAGGAAGCCAAGCGCCTCCTGGGTTCGATCCACATTCAACAGTCCTGGGGCGCTTCCACTGACTAGACCAATCACCTTCTGTTACATGTTAACTGTTCCATGTGTACGCTCGGCCCGGCTCCAGACAGGAGGGCAAAAGGAGAGATGTTGTTGTGGAGAGGAGCAAGGAGCTATCTAATGTCTAACGCTTGAGGGAGAACGGACAGGTGCATGGCAGTGTTCTAAAAACAATGGGAAGTTAGTTATTGGAGTTTAGTCCAATAATTTGGCCTGCTCGTCAATAATACTTGCAGCTGAAATAGTTTTCGTGATTTTTTCTTGGGCACCTGTCAAAGTCTAAAAACCCCCATTCTAAAACATGCTTGTCTGCTCATGTTATCTGTTTTCTGTACGGTTGTCATTCAAAACCCAGAAATTCTTCAGTTTAATCACACTGAATTAGGCTTGCATGCTAAAACCTGCTGTGCATATCATTCTGTACTGATAAGAAAATTGTATGTAACTCTGAAACCAAGTGCATCCAAGTGCAAAAACAGATTGTGCTTTGATTTACGTCACACCACCAAGCACTGATAATAGACAAATGGTTTGCTTAATTTCACATCAGATACACAAAGCCCTATCTAATTGTTTTCCAAAAAACAACCATCATACATCACTATCGGTTCCTACTAGATGCCCATGTCCAGATATTTTCATAGTCAATGCTTTTAGCCACATAAATCCACAAAATCTTATTAGAGTGCTACAGAGTTACCCCAAGTTTAACATTTTCACACTCATTGTCTGTGCCCCATCTGAAGTTGAGGACGTCTAGCCTAAATGGTGAACTTGTGGCCTTGGCCTCTACTGAACTGCATAAGAATTGGCGACACTTTAACACCCACACTTCCTTTGCTGGCGCTACCCACCCCAACCAAACCCAAACCCACTGCCACAGAAAAGTGCCATCACTAACCACACTGGGACTTTATGCTTATCCAAGCACCCAACTCTTACCAACATTCCTGCACTTTCTCCAAACAACCACCGATGATGTGAACTGGAAGCTATAAAAACAACACTTTTATAATCCATTTACAGTAACGAAGGGCATACACATCCTTGAAGCCTTTACACTTTCTAAATAACTGACCGTAGTTTCCTAAGCCATCCACAATGTTGAATACACCCAACCAACCACAGCCTTAACATTGTCTGCAAGCAGAGACACTCATTTTCAAACAATTATTTCAGACATATCCAAACCTGTCTCCTCTCCACTTCTTCAGTTTGGGACAACTGCAGCCAAAGCTCATCCCCTGACACCCATCCCGATATGAACAAAGACTAATATCCTACCTATCCATACAACGAACCAAAATCCCCAAACCAGAATGCACGCTGCCCTTGTGAATTCTTTGGTAGTCAAAGCAAACCAACAGCAGCAGCAAAATAGCGCCTTGACTAGTCACAACACATAAATCTACCAAAGCTCTACAGCCAGCTAATAAATGACCCTTATTTGGACTGTCAACAAAAACTTCTATAAGCCAGAATTGCATGCAGAGAAAGAGTGCAACAGTAACCCCAGTTAGTCAGTTCAAGTTCATTTTTAACAATAAACCAGCTCGCATAGCTAGATCTTGGCCAAATAATCCATATTACTTGGTTAGTGCTAAGTTCTGTGCAGGCCTGTACCTTTGCTACCTGAATGAATGGGGTTTTTATTTCCACAACCAATAGTGCCTGAAAATGACCATCTCCCTTCACTTTTTAGCATAAAAAACACATCAGACAAGTAAAATACTGCTGTTCAGCAGGATGAAACAAAAGTTAATTAAATTTGGTGAATCCAAAATAATTAGATCAAAAGTTTGACAAATCAATTGAGTCTGGACTTTTAAATTTGTGCATGAGCAAAATAAAAGCAAACACACAGCCAAACAATGCTTAAATTACACTTAAAATATTCTAATACAGGTACAAAAATATATTCTTGGGCGATCCAACTTGCCGTAGACGAATTAATGGGGAACGTTTGCAGTCCCTGAATGGCTCTATTTTCTAATATGGCTACTATATCTTACTTGTGTTCTTTGGCTTCATAGGAAAATGACATATATTGATAGAAACATATATTTCCTGGAGGAAAATCCAGGATGAGGTTGTGTGATTGATGTGAGTGTGTCTTCCTACAGTGCGACGTCAGACCACAGTGTCTTAGTTTTCACAACTCAACTACCACACCACTCATCAAGTCAGATGAGAGGATGATAAATTAGCATGCGGTGGACACAGATATCAATCTCACTTGTGGACCCACCATGCTTTGCCCTGGACTGGCATGACCTCGCCTCACCATACCACAAGAATTCAGGGGGAATAACCCTGTTTGGTATCCACTGAGACCTCAGCCATATGTTATGTCTGTTCCTGCCTCCTCCTCTTGTTAGCTACTTCTTTCCCCTTTACTTCTCCCCCCTACCAGCTGAGCAGCTGTGCAGATGTGAACACCTTGTCACAGTTTACGCTTGCACTCCTCAACATTTGTTTTTCTTTGAGTGCTTCAAGCTGAGTAAGGGTCTGGGAGAGATCGGTGCGTATACCCTCCCCCTCGCACTCTCTCAGTTTTTCTGTGACAGCGCCAGTTAAGTAGAATGTGTGAAACAGATGAAGATCAGCAGTCAGTCGACTCATTTGGCTCTTTTCATTTGCAGTGAAAGTCCCTGTGCCCTGACCTTAACTTCTCACATCCAAAGAGTTCAATTGCAGAGTTCTTAATCTTTTAATCTCACTCTCCCCCTCTCTCTATCCTTCTCTCTCTATCAACCCCTTTCTCCTTTTTGTAATTACAGGACATACTTATAGAGATTATGCTCGTGTCATCTGCAGATCAGCAGCATGCTACCGCTGAGTGCTCTGCTGGACAGATGTATGACTGGGACACACGGACAAGCCGGAGGAGCATCGTCAGACTTAGTTAAGTCCATTCTTTAAAGAACATTTATGGTTACTACAACTTTCTCTCGGTTATTGTAACACTGTATTCACCAAACTAAGTGGTGGGAATGCATTGACATCTTTACTATGAACAAGGCACAAATGGTCTGACGATCACCAATAATACTTTATTTGAAGTAAAAACCAAAAGTGACCACATGCAAAATCTGGAAACTTGTCTGCATGGATTTCTCTTCAACCAAAATTTGACTAACCTGGTGGCTTCTTTAAAACATCTATGTCTGCTGTAAAACAATAAAAAAAGAAGTTTTTATTTCTCTCATTTGCTTGATTTCTCACTACCATCGCGCCTTCTCCTCATTCACTCTCTTGCTTGTTTAACCACTTTAGCAATCTCTATCTCTCTCTCAAATAAGCCAACACAGCATATACTGCAAGCCGACACAGATGTCGAAACTGGGTACAGATAATAAACCATGTTAGGACACATCATTTGGTCCATGAACCCTGCGCCTAAAACCATTCTAAAAATTGGCCTTATGTTTTGTTTTGTTTTTTAATACTTAACACATCCCTAGATTGTGGCATTGCGGTATTCAAAAATTGCTGAAGCAGGAATTTTTGCAAAGTCGTTAAGAAATAATCACAAAATCTATCCCTCAACCTCTTTTGGGAATGACAATATTAGATTGTTGTTACTTGCATCTCTGCAAGCATTCATCTTGCAGAGGGAAGCAACAATGGGCTGTTCAAACGCTAACTACAGCAGCTACTCCGCTAAACTGCCCACAAACAGAAGTCTCTTTTCTAAAATAGCTACATAAACACTCAGACATTTCCTGATGGCCAAACAAGTGACCAAGCAAGCCAAGCACTTGGGAAATATCACACTGGTATTCTTCCTGGATATTCAGGCCAATCATTCCTGCTTTAACCGCACTATTTCAGTAGCCCAAGGGACTGAGGGGAGACTAGCTTTTACATGACTAACACTTCACCAATAATGGAGGGAGAAAAAAAAGTCTGCTCGTCACCTGGTTTCCACTTCTGTTTCCACAGCTAGGGTTCAGAGTTCAAGAGAAAATAAATGCTTTTGCTGACAAAGTTATGTGGGAAGAACATCCCACACATCCCAACACCATTCACTTAAACCTACAGACTCATAAGGATAATGGCTCGGCCACTTGTCGAATATTAGTTTTGCTCTCAGGAGGAGACGCCTGTCCAGCATCACATTCTGCTGCCTCAGGACGGGTAAAGACTCGCACTCCCCTGGAAGCTCTGGTTTCTGACACACCACTGATTACAAATGTCGGGCAAAAAAAGCACCACCAGCTCATAAATCACCTCCTATAATATGCAGAACATCTCACTCCAAGCAACCATCTGATTTTATACTTTTCATCCCTGCCTCTAAAGGGCAGTTGACTTAGGGATTTTACTCGCTCTATTAGCCTCGAATCACATGGTTGCAACAAAGCACTTTTGAGATCAGTGGCCATAGGGGCCACATCCATGGCTTTCAGTATGTGTACGTGGACCAACACGTGACTGTGCTTACACTACCAAGAAACTGAACCGTATATAAACAAGGGGCAGGCTTCTGCCATGTGAGACTGAGCTGAATAGTGAAAGTGGCACAAAGGCTGGTTTAGACTAATTGTGCCACATCCCCCCCACCCCCTCTCTGATGCCTTCTGGGTCTCTCTCTCTCTCTCTCTCTCTCTCTCTCTCTCATTTTACTGATGCTTAAAGAATTGGTTCAACAAATTTACACAAAGCATATTTTCTCGCTCACCCTTACTTGTGTCTGGCCATGGAGATTTTTGTTTTTTGACCAGTTTTTGAAATATCTAAAACCTCTAAAACCTCCACTGCTAACCAAATACAATGGAGAATAGAGCCGAAACACTGAACTGTGTTCAGACAAGATGCAAAGTTGATTTTAAAAGTGCTGTGATTGCATGTAATGCACAGTCATGAGTTTCCCCAGGGTGGCACAGATTGTGGAGAAGAGGTGCTTATTAAGCTTCCTAACTTAAATTCATGTATGTATGGGAGGAAAAAGGAAGAGAGACTCAGTTCTCATGGTGGAAAACAGTCAAACGAAGCGGGGCACCTGGTGAGTTCTGAGATCAGGGGAAATTCACTTCACCTTCCATCTGAGCACACCATTTGAACAGCAACATCAGTAAACAACTAGTACCTAAGAAATGTATTGACAGTATGTTCTGCATTAACCAGCCATTGAAACTGTTGGTTTTGATTGTAGACATGTTGAGAACCTTTTTTGTATTTCCTCTTCTACTATGTACCCTTATATTCTCTTTTTTTCCCTGTGTCACTCACAAAGAGGACAGCTCTGAACAGGACAGGCTGTTTGAACCCCCCAAAAGCTCCTGATTTTCCCGATTAAAGCCTTCCACAAAACCAACCCATCCCCAGATCATCCCTGACATAACGAATCACCAAACACAATTAATCCCCCACAGAAGCACTGCACTCCACTACAACCACCCCTGTTTTCCCTACCACCCAAACTTCTTTTTTTTATCTAAGCCTATTCATATCCAGACATAAGAAAAAGAGGCACAGCAGCTCTGCCAGGGACCCTGTCACTGTCAATTGCCACAAACGGACATCACCCAGCAGCGGCGGCTTACTTCAAACACCAGCGTCTCATTAGTAGGTCCAGCAGCATACAGGCTCTCCGGCTTGTTGAAAGAGCGCTGGTAGTCGAACACGGCCCCACCGAAGTGGAACTTCCCCGGCCAGTCCACAGTCCAGTCCCCGGTCAGGTAGTACTTCCTCTTCAGGGAGCGGACAGCCAGGTAGCTGGTGGAGACCTCCATTTCCTGAACGCGAATGCTGCGTGCCCCAGCTGGGACCGTTACCATGGAGTAATACTCTGAGGAACAAAGGAGGAGAAAGGAAAGTCAATGCCGAATCAAGCTCAGATATTTGTTTAATGCTGTTTTCTAATTCTTATGACATGTTTCATCACACAATCCTGTCACCCATGCACGCACAAACCTTTATCCCTGCTTTACCTCATTATGCACTCTGGTCTAGAAGTGAATCAGTCTGTTACGAAGTGGGATTAGATGCATGTGGGTGTGTGTGGTTTTTCTCTTTTTCTTTGCCCGCCTATGTGTCTCTTTGTCTTGCAGAATAACAACATTTATGCCAACATACAGACACACTCTACAAACAAAGACAAGCTTACCGTTAGCCCTGTGTTGAAGGGTGTACTGGCCCTTGAAGAACTTGCAAGTGGAGTTGTCTCCCTTACAGACTCCGCAGGCATCCAGAGAGGCCTTGGAGCCCAGAATCTGGTCACAGCCTACTGCCTGCACACACACAAAAACACACATGCCATTAGTGTGGATGGAGCTAGAATTAAGAGGATGTCAGTGTAAATAATCTTTACTACCAACTCTATTCCAAAAGTCCTCATTTGAACATGAACGTACAGAGATAACTTTAACTCCTTCTTTGTTGACATCAGTGTTTCACATTACTACCACACCTGATCCATGGTGGGGTTATGCAGAATTACTCTTAAGATTAGATGAACGGTAGGGGAAGACGAATATGCAATAAAACAGAAACATTAGCGCTTTGTTCGGTTGTAGAAAATACAGAAAAACAGACAAAATATTGGAAGAAATATGAAAGTAAGAGAGATTTAGAAAGATCTCTCATTCCCTTCATTAAGCCAGGTTTTTAACACCTGGTTGCACTTGTAGCGTTCGCTGTAGCCTTTAATATGCTGAGCTAGATCCACGCTGGGACCAATGGGAGCCATTTTCATTCCCAGGAAAAAAAAGACTTTGGCCCCTTTGCTTATGCCTTTGTGCATCCTACAAGCAATTAGATGACATACTGGCAAGAAGTACACCTTAAAGGACTGCAAGTATGGCAAGCAACATGCCTCCGTCCGAACTAGGTTTTAGACACATCCCCAGTTTAAACCAATTATCTAATCTCTTATTTGAAAGTGAAACCTAAAGTGAACGCACACAGGATAAAAAGGACCAGTATCCGGAAAGATCCAATAGTATACAAGTTTATGGATCTGTATCCAAATCTGTATATCTGTATATTATATTACATCATACCATATAATATAAAATAAAATCCAGTCTGTCATCTTCTGCATACGGACACCATCTGTCCATTTACAAACGTATGACCGCCTTAGATATTACTGTATTTCTGTGCATCATTTGTAATAACACTTTGCATTAAATAGGTAAAATAGGTAGCGTAGGTCAAGAAATTAGCTCTATTTCAAATTCAAAATCAAAAACCATTGATTCTGGCACTAACTAATTATCTGTAACTCTCCTGCAACTTTGTTAGAAAAAGCTTTTCCAAAAATGACCTCATGTAACAATTTTCTCCCATTAACCCTAGAATAATTCAATTTTCTGTGGAGCACTGTGAATCCACTCAGACAATGTACCTCACAAACTCCATCGATGCAGACATCTCCTTTGTGGTCAGAGCAGGAGGTGCCGTCTTTGACCTTGCTGGACATGGCGAAGAAGAAGTCAAAGTCTTCTGCAATGCAGTACAGCTTACAGATGTCTTCATCTGCACACAGAACATACAAATATACAGTAAGACTGGTATCATTAAAAAAAGGAAAGCCTAAGTAAAAGTGTAAATTGTTTGGGGGCCATATTCCCCAAAGTTCTTCTATGATCTGGTAACTTTAAAGTTACTGTGGCTACTGTACTGCAACCAGTTATAACATACAGTATGTCTCCTGCTGGGACAGAGTTGGAACAGACAGGAACTGACTGTGAATGCACCCAGGGGTATTCATGTGGGGCTATGGGTTTATTTTGTAGTTCAGATCAGTTATCACAGACAAGTCTCTACAGCCGTCTTTGATTAAAATAAATGACGGTGAAGGTGACTTGGCTCAAGGTCCCAGAAGGCAGTTCAGAATCTGTTCCTCTCTACATCACCTCCCATTCATCAACAGCTTAAACAGGCCTGGGACGCCGGCCAAACACACTGCTCTCCTTCATTGCACTCTCTCTCTCCCTCACTCTGTGTAACAAAGCTGGCCCGTAGGCTTCCTTTTTAAATCCATCCCCACTGTGTCAAAGGGTGCAGGTGGCTACATGTCTCCCATGCACATTACACAGAGTGATCGTTTCCTCCAGCTTTTTTGGCCCTAATCATTGTGGCAGTAAATAGAGGTTGGTATTACAGAAACACTTTATAAAAGAGGTTTGGACCAGCGGAGGACGGCGGGGTGTAGAATGTAAAATATCTACAGAATTAAGACACGAAAAAGCTTGCCCTGTGCAATCTGCAATTCTCTGTGTATTTAGCAGCGCTGTGTGCTTTGAACAATGAGATTTCTTTTCTCGTGCATTCTGTGCCAAGAATAAAGTAAATCATGGGATGCTTTCATAATCCTTGAAAGGTGTATTTTTAAGGTAGAGAATCTCTTTGTTTACAATAAAAGATACAATACATTCTTTAACTCTCAAAAACGGATGCAAGAAAAAATACTATAACAGCCTCAGAGCAAATTACACATCAAACATAAATGAACTACAGGACTGAACAGACTTGTTGGGTCTTATATCAACTGACCAACCTTACCATCCACTTTGGTGTAGGGCTTCCACTTATAATACCAGCCCCTGAAGGGCTTGCTGTTGTATTCAGCGCACTGCTGGGCCCTGAAGTCCACAGCGTTAAGAGGGCATGGCCGAGTGTTGCACAGCTGGTTGAGACGGCTGGAGCCTGAGCAAAATTTACCATTGTTCTGTGGCCTGGGTGGAAGACAAGACAAGACAGGGAAGAAGAAGAGAGGCAGAGAAAAATCTGTTACGGATCTGAAATACCCTGCCTGTTTTATTACCACACTTTTATTCAAGTAACAATCCAAGCCAATTAAAAAGCCCCTTAATGTAAGACTACTACACAGACAAAACAAAGCCAGCCAATGCATGTGGGACTGTGCAGAACTGTGCTTGTGCCTGTACTCATTGCTACATACATTTCATATAGATATCAAGATATATGTGTATGCATAAAGATACCCCGTGGAGGTATTCAAGTCAAGTCAAGTTTTAAATTAAAATGTTATTTATATAACCCAAAATCCCAATATGCCTCAGGGGGCTTCGCAATATGCAGAACATTCAACACCCTGTGACCTTAAACTCAATTTGGGTAAGGAAAAAACATGTTAACTGGGGAGAAAATGTAAGAAAATCCCATTATATAGACATTTTGATGAAGCAATTTCTGATACATTAAGATTATAAAATATATGGTAAATATCAGGTATGTACCAATAGTACAGCTATGGAAACATGTTTTTACGTGTGGGTCTCCATTTAATGTGTATCAGGCAAAAGCTTGGGCAACACTGCTGCCACTTTCACATCATCCCAATGATCATCAATTGGTGGCAGCAACACACAAAGACAGTAAAGAGGAAGACCTCAAGCTAGTAAACACAGATGTAAACATGGGCTCAGTTCCAATGTCCCCCCCTAAGTCCTGGACACTGAACCCTCGCAGACTTTGAAGCAATTTCATGCTGTGCATGAGTGTCTGAGTGCAGGAGGGTGTAATAGCTCCAAACCCAGTCTCAGCAATGCCAGCGCACTTTGTGGTATTTTCAGACTGTATGTAGTTCAGTTAACTGGAGTGTTTGTTGTTTACTCCTTGTCTATAAGTAAAACAGTTGTTGGACGTATGTTGAACCAAATCTAAACATTTGATAATGTGTTCATAATTAAAAGGAAATATCATCTTGCCAAATCCCTTTATGTATAGTTTCCTTTTTGATGTGCACTGCAGCTTTGCAGACTGATGTAACGTCTGTATAAAGGGTTCATAAAGCCAACCTTAATCACTTGCCGAAGCAATATTTAAAACAATTGCTAATGTTTCATGGGGAGAAAGGGGCATTTAACATGTTTGTGAGACCTCAAGGATGCACACAATTCGTTTTGGTGAGAAACACAGAATGTAAACTTGACTTTTGTCTATTTATAAGAAAACTAAACAGGGCAGCTGTAAGGCTTCACAACTCCGCTTTGCACACCAGCATCTCGCAGTCAGTGTGACTGATGAGCCAAGGCAAAGTCTGTTAGAGCATAATAAAATCCAAGATATTATCCTTTAAGGCATCCAAAACAAAAGTGCGACCTCAATTCATCAAAATGACACCCTAGTATCTGTCAGTACAGCGTTAGCCCCAATCCAAGTGTAAATTAGACTTTAAAGTTTTGGAGCAACAGGATTAAAGTTTGTGTTAAAGTATAGGACTGTAAAAGAGAAGTCTGCATGCCATGTCAGATGTTTCCACAGCATTCCAAATCAACACTTCTTTAACCACACGGGAATAGCAAGTACAGAACATAAACAGGTAATGGAGCTTTAATATGCCATTAAAATTATAAAAGCAATTACCACTTAGAAGAAGACAAGCAGAGTCTTGACATTCGGTGGACATAAGGGTGCCATGTCTGATTTCCCAGGCTTTCTAAACTCATGCCAGGCATTCCAATTCAACCACCAGCAGAGAAAATTGGGTTTAGCTATTTACAAAAGTGGCCTGCAAACTCACAGACACACACATGGACTGGGGAACCATGCTGATCAAACATGTCTAATAAAAACAATTCACTAAGTGTTACAATGTAATGAAATGCTTTGGAAAAGGAACTAAAAAAGCGCTTAACAGAAACAGTAAACACCAGGAGAACACAACTAGAGGCGTATTTCTTTAGAATTTCTTTCACCAATGCAACAGTACTGAAAATGTCTGCACGAAATGAATGTCAGCAACAATAAGAAGCAAAAATTCATGTTGCTTCACAGCATTTTTCTTGAACTCCAATCGTTGATCCCCACCATTCAGACCTGGACTCAATCAAACAGTGACTTAGCTGCCAAGAATGATGGAACTCCATTCAAGGTGTGTGTGTGTGTGTGTGTGTGTGTGTGTGTGTGTGTGTGTGTACATCTGCTCAGTGCCGATCTAGCTTCCCTTGGTGGGGGGGGGTTTGGCCCAGGTTTTCATAGGCCTGATCCTATTAAGACTTAGTGGCAGACAAATGCAGCACATATGGCAATGTGCTTACAGCAGGCCAGTGGGGGACTTCACCATATACCGTGTATCAGTCAAAGTCTTTTGATCAAAGCTGAGCATTAAAAAGGGACAGTTTGCCTGAGAAGGGTGTTGAATGCATTTTAATGGATTATGGACAGTCAGGCTCTAAGTTCCACAACGCCCCTGGTTCCTCTTCCTCTTCTCTTCATTGTCTCCTCTGCTCTCCCTAAATCACCCCATATCATTGCAACTATAAATCTACTTCCAACTAGACAGAAACCAGATATGACAAGTTTTCAGTTTGTGTCTGACTCATTCCTCTTCTGCCTCTACACCCCAACTCCAACACAGCCCTCAGGACCCTTAAGGATGCTTAAATGTCCCAGGAGCCCGGTAAATCTGCCCAGCAACAGAAGCTGAGACTTTACTCCTGTAGGTCAGAGGTCATTATGTCTAGTCTTGTCTTCTTCTAGTCACCTGCTCCCTCCCTGCCCCTCTCACGACTTCCCACATAGATCCACATCCTGTCGCTCTGCTACGAGCCTAACCCCTGTAAAACACTCTAACAAGTCTGCCGGGAGAGACTGCACCAAACAAGGTCCTATCTAAGCATCATCGCCCCCTCATCATACACCCCCCCCATTCCCTTTAAATCGAGTGTGTGACAAAATGTGCTCCCTACAAAACCAGGTCATGATCGTGAACCTAATCTCCTAGGCTTGTTGGTGAGGATTAGGTTGACTGCGTTTGATCTGGCAGGTGGTCTACAGGGAATGGAGGGAGGCGGAGGGAGGGAGGGAAGGAAAGGGAGAAGATTCATTTTCCGTCTTGGAGCAACTCCTAGAAGGGAAGGCTTTAATCGGCTCATCCCATAGAACTCTTTTACAAGACTGAGCAAAAGATACATGCTGGCCTCATAAAATGGATGAGTTTGTGCAGAATCAAATGAAGTTTTTAAGACTACTCCTGCCGAGTGAAGAGTTTGTAGTTTGTAGCAGGCTAGAGGTGAAAATGTACAAGTCATATCTATAAAGTCAACTTTACAAAACTTTACAAAGGTAAACTTTTTACTCAGATTTTATTCATATGGTGGTATGTTCTTTATACAATGACAGCTTTCCTAAAATCTGATATTTTTCACAACATACTGTACCCTATTGCGCACAGTATCAAACTATATAGCAGTATATTGAATGGTAAAGCTTGCATCATGATACACATGGTATCACCAGATTCTTACACACAGCCCCATTGACCAGTGTCGGTGATCTTTGAGGAGGACAGCCCAGACTGTCCAGACAGTTCAGTTTGGGGGTGAAGATGACATTAGAGACACGCAGCATGATTCAGGCTAATCCTTCTTGTTCTGCTCAGATTAAGAGCAGAGGAGACCTGCCAAAATAATCGCAGAGATTACTGGGGGCAAACACACTTTGAATGTCAGGGACCGAAACGTGACTCAGGGGTATGTGCTGCAGTTGGGATAAGGTCTGAGTTTGTTTGGGTGGCTGAATTATTTTAGTGGAGGTGTGTGTTGTGGTGGTGGGGGAGGTAAAGAGATGCCATATTAAGACAAACATCGGTTGTTTTAACATGAGAGCTCTAAGGGATCCGACAGTTAGTTGGCCCATTGTTTGTAATTTGATAATGGTTTCATAACTTGGCAATACTGGAAAATGTTTAACCCTCACCATCTTTCCATCCCCTCTCTGTCCCACTGACCCCATAATTCCCAGTTTAGCAGCATCAACCCAATTTTCAGCGGCTACTCCCACAAAGCACTATTTAGTGCCACAGGAATGATAAATGAACTTGACAGCTAACCTGGTTTAAAGGGCTCTGTGGTCCTTTATGGTCTGCCAGTCATGGTGTATAATGTGTATCATATGAGGGCCGGTCTGCCTCTGAAAACGTTTTGGTCTTTGATCCCGTACAGGGATTAGGAGACAAGTTGCCTGTGACGGACCGACCAGCCACATCAGTGTCTGCTCAACTGTTAAGTAAGTAGTGATGAAACCAGTGGAGTAAAGAAGATGATATACAGCAGTAGACATGTTTTAATATCTCAACAGACGCTTTAATGGAGGGATGTGATGGGGGAAAAAATTATATATTTTCACAGCTACAAACTTGTGTTTAAACATTTGAAACAGCTGAGATACTGAAACAATTGAAGTCATAGTTGAGGTGGCAGTAAATATACAATTTGTTGGGGTGAAAGTGTTGAAAGGAGTTGGAGATTTAGTTGAAGATCAATTACTGAAAGGAGCTGAAATCGTCAAAGTGTGGGTGATAAATTGACCAGGAAGTGTCACTTGAAGGCAAAGTCTGGACAGTTCAAGTGTGTAAACTGAAAGAAAGTAAGTTCTGTATCAACAATTGGAAGTAGTGGATCTGGAAGCTGTGAGAGGTAGAAGGAAGGTTTTTCTTTCTTTTTTTAAAGATGAAGACCTGAGCCTTGAAAGGGTTTGAAGTATCACCTGAAGTGTAATCACTGTCAGTTGAGGAGTTAGAAATAAGTAAGCACTGACATTTTGATTAAACTCTAATTTCTTGAGGCTGAGGCTAAACTGCATTATATTGTTCAGGTGCACCTGTTATTTTGTCCTAAAGTGACTCAGTGTAGGCTCTTACTGTTTTTGACTGACAACCATGGAAATGTTGCTGTGTAAATGACTATGTGAGATGAAATGACAATCCTATGCAGTCATTTTGATATTCAAGTCAAGTATGCAGATGCAGCAGTAATTATGAGCGCAACTGTGTCCCTGGTATCCTTGCCATGCATCGAACGGGCTCTTAAACACACAGAATCACACACGTCTGTGCGATGACATGTAGGATTGGATGTGACATGCCACTATGATCTAACCTGCTATGACTAATTCCTGAATGATGGCAATCATTAACAGAACAAACAGCAGATTCTTTGTGATGAAGTCTGAGATCTGTCCACCAATCAAGGTGGTGCAGTGGCCTTGGATGTTAGCCATTAGTCATGATCCTGTTGGAAACTTACTGTGCTATGAGTATCTGGTTATATTGTATGTGACAATGTATGTGCAAGTTCTATATGGTAAGGCTGCTCCCTTTAATTGTTGTAGAGCCACAGTTTGATCCCATTAAGTGAAACACTGGTCATCAAACAGCATGAAATATGCTAAACATTAACTTAACAGACATATCGCAAAATCTAGAAATTGATTTTTTTAAATATATATATATATTAATTATCATAATTATATTATTTTTAATTATAATATGAGGAAATTGCTAGTATTAACACAACCTACAAGGACAAGCATTTAAACCCTTAACAACAACAAAAGTTATTCCAGCATTACATGAAATTAGAAATTAAGCTGCATTTCTACCCAAAGAACCCAGACATTTTAGTCCCTGGAACTACTTTTGAAGGTACTAAAAGGTTCAAAGGTTAGGTAAATTAGTCAGCTGACATATGATAAAGTGACGGCTCCTTTAACACGTCATTTTTGCATACGACTACACAACAACAATGGCGCCATATAAAGCGACAGGCCTAATTATTGACAGTCCTTTGTCACTCCATGTTGACGTGTCAAAGCACAATGAATAATAAACAAACTGGTATGCAGCAACAGATGTTTAAAAATGGGGGCTGACATAAAATGCTGCCAGTACCCGACCAATCAAAAATGTTCAGCGCTGCAGGCCCCACCCCCAAAGTTCCTTTACATATGGAATGTACTATCCCCTGAGCAGAGACTTTTTGAGGGGTAAAATGTCCCCAGAACTTAACTTAAACCCTGAGCCCTGCGGTGGAAACACACTGAGTTCCTCCAAAGGTTTCTAGTCCCTGGGGAAAGTTCCTGCGGTGGAACAATCCTTTAATGTCGATGTCTAACAAGACGTCTGTAAGACTTCAGTGTATGGATTAGACATACTACACGGTGAAGGCAGAAGAGAAGCTGAAATGGCATGAATGATTAGGATATCAGTCCTTTCTCTGAATATCCCATTGCAGACATCCCTCTTGTCCTGTATTAAATTTAAAGGGTTAGTGCTGTGGGGGCTGGCTAACTAACTGCAGGTCGAGACGATCAATTAACTGATCGCGCCACTGTGACAGAACAACAATAAATCGAGTAATCTATTGTATGGAAGTGAAACAAATGCTTAAAATCATCTAATAAATCTCCCAAGTGTTCTGGGGAGTAACAATGAGGGATTGTACATCTGTTATGAAACAACATTAAAACTGAGGGTCTCTCACGTTCCTGTAATGACATGCACAGAGCCCTTTGCTAACAAAGAGATATGCACTGTGGGATCTGGGTCTGCAGAATTATGTAGAATTATGTTTGTGTGAGTGAGCAGCAATAGGGGACGTTTGCTGACTGTCTTGGCAGCTTGCAGAGAAAAGAGCATGCTATTAGGAGGTTTTCCTCGTCTGGAGCATGGGGAGAGATAGTCTGTCTGTCTGGACTGTCAGCCTGACTGATGAGAGCCGTTATCAGGCGCATGTGTGTGTGTCTGTGTGTGTGTGTAGAGTATGTGTGTGCATGTCTGCGCTGACAGCTACCTGGCAGACAGCACTTTCAGGTGTTCAGAAAGGAAGGATTTTGAGACATGCAGCATTCAAGAATTGCTTTCTGGCCCAAACTGCAACTCAGGTTTTCATTGTGGAAGCAGCCGCATGACAAGATGAATCACTTTGTCATCTGTTTGGCAGGTTATTAGCATTAAAAGGGAGCTTATGAATTCAATTAATAGGAGATTATGTGAGCGTGTGCATACCTTGGGCTGGTGCAGGAGCGCTCCCTGTACATGACCCCTCCTCCACAAGTTCTGGAGCAGTCAGACCACTGAGACCAGGATGACCACTGGCCATGGACCGCCCTGGGACCATGCTCCCCATATTTGACGCACTGACCCCTCCGACACCACTGGAGCAAGGAGAGAGGTGAGAGAAATGAAAGAAGAGAAAAAGACGCACAGAAATAGCTTTCTTATCAGTACTTGAGTGTTGGCCCGGGCTTATTGCCTGAGTTTCCTGGCTTGGACAAATGCCCAGCACCACACCTGGACACCCAGACTCTCACACACACATATACACATGCACATGCCCGAGCCAATCCAAGCCAAGCCCTGCACTCACCCACACATCACCACCTCTCTCTCTTACTAATATCATATTTCGATATGTGAAAAAGTTCGACCGTTCCCGTCCAGCTGGGAGAACTGACAATAAAATAAAAGAATCTAGCATGAGCTGTCAACTCTGTCTTTTCACATTGGAAGGATTTACTTTGGTTCAGGAAAGTATGAATACTTCAGCTTAAAGGATGGTTTATTACAACTTGGCTCTTGTATTTGTGGACATTATTTCTATCAATTAGTATAACATTTTACTCAAGGGAGTAATTCATTTCCATGTGGAAACACATTCACTACAACAAAGCCTGATGCAGCAAGAAATTAGCAGTCAGATGTTCAGACAGGCTGTAAACACCCAACAGTTTATCTGAACCACTCAAAATGTCAGTGATAATCTCTCATTACTCAGGAAAAGTACTCACAGCTACAACAAGCACATCAGATCAAAGTTAAATCAGGAAGTCAGTGTGTAAACTGCTATGTGTTCAACTGACAGTTCTCTCTTTAATAAGTCAGACTAACTGGGGATTTGTTAAAAGGAATAGTTAAATATTTGGGGAAATAAGCTTATTCTTTTTCTTGCCAAGCGTTAGATAGATTGAGAAGATTAATACTGTACTGTAAATATGAAGCCACCACCTGCAGCCAATTAGCTTAGCTTAGCACGAAGACTGGAAACAAGGGGAAAGAGCTAACTTGGCTTTTTCCAAAGGTAACAAAATTCACCTTTAGAGGTCACAAATAAAGCTTACAAAAAACAAAGTTTAAAGACAACACGATGTGATTATTTCTAGTAATTTCTTACACTTTGGCTTCCTGTGATCTTGTCATCACCATGAGCAGCATTTCCATACAGACATGAGAATAGAATCAATCTTTTCATCTAGCTTTCAGCCAGAAAGTGACCTGATGTCAGCCTTCCATTTAGTGATATCACACCAGTAATTCCCACATCTCAGCAATTAACTTGTTGAGCACAATGTTATTATAACAAATAGGAAAAAACCCAGGTTGTAATAAATCATATTAATAATAATCATAATAAGTATCATTTTTGGATCCCTTTTTTACACCTAATTATCAGTCTTGAATTTGATGCTCATTCATATGCAAAAACATACCCATATTGTGCATCCAAATGAGACACCGTTAGGCACATTTTGTCCATTTATCACTGATTAGAAATGTATGCATGGTGTCTAATTAATATGTCAGTCAAGTAAAATTGTCAGGCAGCAGGCTCAGTGACTGGCTGCTGCGTGAACAAGGCATTTCCTCACCATGTCAGGACCACAGCTGGTGCCTTCTGCAGCAGGCATGAACTTGGTCTCACACCGGTGCCCTGTGCGATGACACCACAGCGACTTGCAGATGTCCTGTCAAACAAATCAAACAAACACACACAGGATGAGGTGTCTATCGCATACAGTGTTTTTTTTGTATGACTATAAACTAATGGACCTTTGGCTTCATCTTCCTCCCCCTCTTCCCTCTTCCTTGACCCGACAGCACCTGCTTCTTGCCAGGACCACCATCACGCCGGTCTATCAGCCCCCACCGCCACGACAACCGGGGATAAACCTCTCCACAAAGCCTCGGTGTCAAATCTAATCACTGTACTTCTTTAATGAAACGGGCTATAACTGTATGTGTCATCTGACCCAACAATACAGAGACAGTGCAAGCGAGTGAGCACAGAGGGAGAGCCGGGGTCGAAAGAGAGGCGGCAGAGTCTGGCAACCCGCCATTCTGCAACTGGCAACAAGAGAGAAAGCAGACAGGAGGCAGGGTAAGAGCAGAAGAGGGTTCTCCGGTGTGTGTGTGTGTGTGTGTGTGTGTGTGTGTGTGTGTGTGTGTGTGTGTGTGTGTGTGTGTGTTTGAGTCTTTGTCCTTCTGTGATGCCGAGCAGGTGGTTGACAGCCATACCGGCATGCTGAAAATCATTCCATATGAGCCCATCAGGGACAAAGAAAACAGGGGGTAAAGTGTGAAAGGCAGCCCCAAATCCACTGTTAATCAGCGTGTAGGTTAATTTACCACCCACCGACTTGCACGCATGTCTAAGAAATGCAGATGTAGTATTTGATCTTCTGTTAGGGAAACTTAGCGGGGACTTAGAGAAGTCATGAATACCCAAGGCGATGTCATGTGTGCTAATCCGTCATATATACGATTTGGCAAAGTCGATTTCCCAGCAATTACAGCCCTGGAGAGGAAAACCTGTAGTATTTTAAACAGCATTTACATTTGAATCAACATCACTGAATGCTCCTAACATAAAGGCTTATACCAAGACCACAAGGCTTAGAGGGGGAACACGGGGGGGGATGCTGGGCATTCCCATTCAAATGATGGAATGCATGTTAATGGAGGGTCAAATGTGGGGGGTTTGAGGCTGTTGTGCAAAGATCATGCTAATTAATAAAGTGCCAATTTAGCACTGCATCATTAGCGCTGTAAAGCAGACAATTGCAGCCCCTATACGATCTGGGCCCTCCATCTCATTACTGGAGGCTTATCTAGTGAGTCTTGGTTTAGGCAGAGGGACACAGGAAAAATACTTGATTTAGGATTGTTGGGGTTCATTTAAAACCAGGACTATTTAACTGCTAGAGATTTGGTTCTTTGTTACTGCACAACAAAGGTTTAGTTTAAAGGTCCATTGTGTAACATTTAGGAGGATCAATTGGCAGAAATGGAATATAATATTCATAGGCATGTTTTCATCAGTGTATAATCACCTGAAATAAGAATTGTGTTTTCGATACCTTAGAATAAGACATTTTTATCTACAGAGGATGCTCCTTTTCTACGGAGTCCGCCATGTTGAACTACTACTACAGTGGCCAAGAAAGGACAAACCAAACGCTGGATCTAGTCTAGATAATGCCTTGCAGGTTTTCTGTAGTTTCAAGGCCAACGTAATTTCTCCTACCCGCTAGGAGGGCGAGCGGTATTCTGCAAATTCTCCGCTAGATATAGGATATGCACAGTGGTTCTATAATGATCTAGTGTCCCTACTCCTTTCCTTACAACATCATATTAGCCAGAATTTTTTCTATCAAAAATATACCCTGGTTAAACCTGCAATAACTTATTTTTGGCCACTGAGGGGGATGAGAAGCATCCGTAAACACAACATAGACATATTATCACCTTTTAAGTTGATATGGTTTATTTATAGTTTTTGGCAGTGGGAGCATTTGTGTCCACCTGGGTTTTTAAGCATTTGTTCTAAAAGCAGCTGCCTGCTGGGGCTGAAAACAACACTGATGAGTAAAACTGTGCACAGTAAAAGCAAAACAAGGAGGTTAAAGATGCTATAAAGCTACATAGAACTGAAGGGAACAACAGAGTCAGGTGATTTTCTGTGGGTCTGTCATTATGAGTGAACTCTTTCACATTAAGTCATGAGATGCATTTTTAATATACAATTTTTTGATTATATCAGCTTTAAACCATTTTAAAAATGTATAAAGTGAATATCTCACCTTGACAAAATCCAGGCTGCACAGTTTGGCTTTGGAACCAAACTGCCACTTGCACTGTGTGTCTGCGTCATACAGCTGCCCGGGAAGCTGTTCAGGGTACTTGTACTGACCGATCTGCTTAGGCTCATCCACCAGACAGGATGCCTGGGCTGTTCTGGTTAACACAGCAAATCACCCATGTCAGTCAGAAAGGGAGCAATGACAACTGGCTGGCAGCTTTAACAGTGTTTGTGCACTTGCATGCGGCGTTGAGGCCTACCCAAGGAAGCGGCTGAGATACTGTCGACTGCAGGTGGACCAGAAGAAGACCCCATTGTTTCCAGCCAGAGTGGGAGACATAATGTTGCCTTCTGTCTTGCGACAAGGGTTCCCCTCACCATCATGTATCATCCCAAAACTGGAGGAAAAAGTTCAAAGTCATGAGTAAAAATTAGGATTTTAATATAAATAACATGACAGTTTTTCTTGTGATGATCAAGCTGATGTTTGTTTATCTGCCTTTTTAAAGTTACACTATATAATGAAATGAAAATATAGCTTTATTGCATGGAGTCATCAGAAAATCTCACACGCTTCCTGATGCACGTAGCAAAGATTTTCTCCCTTTTCGCTACGTCATATGTTTAGCAATTACTTCTTTGTTGTCACTGAACAGTTTTAAGCCTTGAGTCAACATGTTTCTGGACATGCCTTCTACTTGGCTTACTAAATTCATTGGGATATTGCGGCTTACCGAAATGCTGACATATTATCACCTGGGTGACATTTAAAAAAAAAAAACACATTGTTCCTAGTTTGTGTTGAGAGCATGCCAGACAGATGGAGGAGTTTCACCCCAACATGAAATCTAAATTTAAAAAATAAATGGCCTCCCTTCTCAATGGAAACCTACACAAACACAGATCCGTGTGGCCTGAGGCAGTTTCCATTATTCTCTCATAAAGTTTCAGGGAGTAGATGAAGTAGTGCTCTAACGTAATGCTCATATTTCAGAGTGTATTTGCTTCTATAAATCAGGCCACATTTATTTCATTCAATATAGATTCATTACATCCACTCACAGTATAGAGCCAATATAGTGACTGGTATGGTCCAGAAGTTTTCAAAGTGGGAGGCCGGCCTCCCCAGGAGGGCTCCAAACAGTTACTAATTACATTAGTTATTACATGAGTTATCAAAAGGAGATCACACAGAATAGTCTAAATGTGTGTGATCTGGTTAAAGAGATAGAGATGCAGTAGTTCTTGGGAACTTTACTGTCTTCCCCACTTTCCCAGAGTCAGAAACTAATAAATGCCTGAGGACAGACTTTTTTTTATGTATTTGAAGAAGTCTGAAGCTGTGTCAAAGAGCAATATAAGGCTGCCTTGGCCCAGTTGTTGAGTGTCTGTGGGATCAAATAACATGATCAAGATCCCATAGGCATCCAGGAATTGAGCAAAACTAAGCAAGTAAACTAAGGAGGGAGTACACATTTCTCCAAGCCTTTCCACAGTCTCAGACTTTGACAATCCCTGCTATAATCTACCACTCTAAAATGACACTAAAAAGACTGACACTTTTGTTTACGTGAGCAGGTACAATATCCATCAATGTTTGTGTCAACTTTGACTGTGAAAGCAGCTTTACAACTGTGGAACACAACAGAAAGTGATATGGTTTCCAGAAAATGTGTTATGGTTTATTTAACATACTTGTGTCCAGATTCGTGAGCGATGGTGAAAGCCAAGCCCAGTCCTGTATCTTCATTGATGGTACAGCTCCTGTACTTGCTGCACATTCCACTGATGGGGGCAAAGCCTGTAGAGACAAAGGCAGGGGGAGAGAGATAATATATATTACTTGGCACGGGATACTTTTGTTATTAACTATAATACTATAATATACTGACCGCATAAAAAGCGGAAGATTGACAAAATCTAACCTAAAAAACAATCATCTTGTCTCTTTCTCTGTGCTGTAACTGAGCACATTCTTTCTGTTGAAACCTTTGATAGATTCAGCAGGAAACAAACGCCTGTCATAATTGCATTTTGCATACAATGAATAGAGGGGGATTTCACACCAGCTGCAAAATACAACCTCACATCAGTTTAGAGGACTACTGCTGATGATGGACCTGACAGCCTTATGAAAAAGATAAGTGATCCTAGATGTGGGAATTTACTGTAACGGACAAGCTGATGAAAATATTCAGTAGTGGTCACTGTTTTTTCTCATTTTCTGGCAGCAGTTTCTCCCAGTGGACCCAAAAATATAAGAACATGTGCGGTAGAAACATCAATATGTAGTTGACGAATGACTTAAAGAGCCAGATGTTAAACTGTAACAACACTGGCAAAATTTAAGTCGCACATAACTGCGTTAGTGTTCAAATCCAAGACCTCTTTACCTCTGCCTCGGTTCACTTCTGTGTTGTCTTTGTCTCAGTCAGTCTATTTCTATTTTTACAGACATACAGAAGTTGCCTACAGATAATAAATCATTGTAATCGTGACTCAAGTTCCACCTGTTTTACCTCCTACAGTTAATGAGATAAAGTGCTGCCCTGAGATTACTAGCAATTAGTGAGGTGAAAGCAATACGATTATGTGAAAGCAATACGATTAAGATATTAGCCAAGATTAGTTGGTTACACTGATGTTGTTCCAGCTGCCTACTGTTCCTACAAGCTTCATGCGTAAACTGAACATAAACTCATCCTAAAGCGCAACACTGCTCACTTCAGACATGGTAAAGCCTAGCTGTTGCTCAACCTTTGGTACTTTGTTGCACATTTTTCATCCAGACCCAGGTGTTTGGCACATTCGATGTTGTTCAGGAGGTTAAGCTTGTTAAGGTCAGCTGAGCACAGCCTTACCCAGGGTGTCACAGGGCTCATTCTTCCAGGAACAGATGTCCAGTCCGGTGAGGAGGACAGCATGGTCGTGCCGTTTACCACCTTTCCCCACCAGACCTGACTGCCACTGACAGAAACTGTTGAGGGACTGGTCAGCATGGTGATTGATGGTCAGGCCCAGCTGGAAATGAAAGGAGAGAAATGGAGAAGCAGAGCAAGAGTGATTGAGTGAATTAATCAATCGCCAATGCCCAGTGCAATTGGGAAGAATTGTTGTCTGAATCTACTGACCGGGTCCTGTTCCAGGAGTAACAAGCTAACCACTACAATGTTGATATCCGTCCCAATGGTGCCATCTTTGAAAAGACTGGAAACCTGCAAGACATTAGAAAACAGTTCAAGTATGTGTCAAATCTAATATTTGTTGTTTTTCTGATTGTCCTATGCTCTCCTCTTACTGAGAGAAATACAAAGTATGTTCAGCCTTAATACAAACTACTTATATCTGGGTTAGCTTACAGGTAGAACTTGGAGTGTTCAACTTTTTAATTGTAAGATAATGAACAAACAATTTCTTCTTTTAAAAGTTACAAAGTCTCACTTTCAGGATCCCTTCAATATAAATCCAGTTTCCTTTCTGTATTATGTTTCAAGCAGATGAAGACGCAGATGAGACTTCTGTATTAATCCCCCGTAAAAGGAAATTCAAATTGGCACAGCAGAACAGGAATATAGAGCAAAGAGTAAAGAAAGAGAATAAAATATGATATATAAAATAAAATATAGTATGCCTGTGTATATCTGTACATGTGCAATGTTTCTATCCCCCTCGTCATGTGACCCTCGCCTTGCTGGTTGTACTGGTCTGTTCAGAGTCTCCCATAAACGAACAAGAGCTGGGAGAAACAGCAATACAACAGATTTCCCATGTGTCTTTGAGCCATCCCTATATTATCCATGTCAGCATGTGTTTCGTGCCACCTCCTCCTTTCCTCCTCCTCCCCTCTCCCACCCTCACCATATTCATGACGGTGAGGACGTAGGTGGTGACGTTGTCCCTGCCGTGTTTCTCCAGCATCTTCCTGTCTGCCACCACCAGGGTCTCCACATTCAGGCCCCCCACCCTGTTGGAGTTGATGGGCGATCTCTTTGCCCTTCCTGGCCCTTCTGCCTCAGGTATCGCAAACTCGTCAGGCATGATGAAACTGTCCTCAGTGGGAGGTTTGGGAGCGTCTAGGAGGGCAAAAAGGGAAGGACGGAAGGGAGGAAAGACAGAGAGGGTGTGAGGGAGAGAGCGAGACTTGGCAGTGAGGGTCGAATGAATGAACTGTCTTTTTCCTGGCTCGTGCCGGGTGATAAGAGTACAGCCTCTGGTGTTGAAAGCACAGGAAATTCACTCCCCACGCTGCTTCCTACCTCTCACCACTAGAAGGAAAGATAGGTAAACTAGCCTGTGGGCTGAGCGGCCTCTGCTGATGTGGTCCTATTACAGAGGACGCAATGCACTCATTAAACAGACATTAATGTTTATAATGAACATGTAAATATAGAGACAGTCATGGTTAAGAGTTAAAATACTAATACTTAACACTTTTATTCTACATATTTCTACCCTGGCACAACAGAATCTGAATAGAACTGTCCTTTTTGGTATAGGGATGGTCAATTAATGTTTCATTAAAGATTATTAATATCGAGACAAAAAATCTATTATTAGTCAAAAAATACTGCCTTGGTTTCAATGTATATTCATTCAAGGATCTTTCGCTACATACTATATATTGTGTAGTAACATGGAAATTGAAAATATAATAATATTGTGTTAGAATGCATGGTGATTGTATTACATTTAATTGCATCCTATCTACCAGGTGGAATTCCCTTGGGTCTATCCTATATTTTCATATGATTACAATCTTTATATCACATTGCTACTTTAGAAAAAGAAAGGCTTTTTATTGTCATATTCACAGTATATATACACCATTAACAGCACTTTTACATACATGAAATGAAACTTGGTCTCTGCATTTAACCCAACCTATTTACATAGGAGCAGTGGGCAGACTAAGCGCCCGGGGAGCAGTTAGGGGTTAGGGGTTAGTTGCTCAAGGGCACCTTGGCAGAGCACAGGAGGTGAAAACTGGCAACTCTCCCACTACTAGCCCACCGGTGGTCTGTGGGGCTTGAACCGGTGACCCTCCTACATTACATCATCAATGCATATTGTAGTTGCATGCATGTTTGCCATGTGTGTAAACGAGGGACAGCATGCAAAAATATTCATTCATGGTGTGCACTTCTGTGGAACTTCTGCACTTATAACGTGATTAAATAGCTAATGAGTGTAAAGGCTAGAAATGCTGGTCTTAACATAAATACACAATTATCAGATGGTAAAATATAAGGAATATAAGGTTCCCTTACATACATTGCTTGCGGCGTCCGCAGAAGTGTTGCCTCTGCAGCTTTCCATGCTGGTAGTCATGGTGATGATGCTGCTGCTGCTGATGATGATGGTGAAGGTACGAGTAGTCAGGTCTGGAAGAACCAGTGCTAGATGGGCTGCTAGACCTTCTGTGGACAACGTGTTCCGCTGAGCGTTTGTAGACTACGTGCGGGTGGTGACCATCGGGGGCGCTGTAGTTGTGTCGTTCAGCCAGATGTTGGGGTAGCGGGGCAATCAGATACTCCTCCTGAGACACACGGATCAAACCTGACTGGAAGACAAACACAAAAGGCATGGACAGTGAAAAACCACAGATTACTCACCTCCACCAAGCAATACAGGGATGTATTAGTCTTGAAGCAATCTAGTGTATACACAAAGAGACAGCTGCCATTATGACATAACATCCTACATACATGTCATGTAGTATCACACTGCAGTCATACACCTCACATAGCACACAAGCACAGAGCTATCCAGTCTCCACTATGGCCTTGACAGAGCTGCAGTGTAGCTGAAGCAGCTGTTGAGTGAAGTCAACAATCCGTGCTACTCTAACTAGAGGGCGAACACACATTTCACCTCCAAACCCTCCCAGATCAGCCCCACCTACACTTACCACCTAACTCTATCCTAACATTAGGCAGATGTGCACAGTGTGAGAGAATACAGCTGTCTAGGGGAGGAGATGTCTTATTCAGCTGGAAGACAGAATAGCGTGAAATTCAATTTTTTATGGAGAGCTGAGCTTTGTTATTAATTGATTTTAGCAAAAATCTAAATCATGTGTTTAAGCAGTTAAATCCGAGTTTGGGTTTTGCTTCAAAACATAATTTAGACTACATTGCATTGCTTGTTTTTCATTCATTCATCCATTCATTCATTCATTCATTACCCTGGCTTTGTTTCTAATGTAATATCTACAGTGCACTTTCTCAAAATAAAGTTTATTGTGTCATTTTATAATATTTCATTCAATTAAGAATAGTCAAATAGGACATTTTCTTTTGGAATTGGTTAATATAATTGAATCAGAAGTCAAACAGGGAGAAAGACTGCTTTAGAAAATGTTAACTCTTTTGCTCTTGGACATGTTTATCGGGACTTAAATCAAAATAAAGTATTTTTCTCATTCACTGCTTCAAATATTCCCTGACACATGCTGATCATACATTGTATTTACCACTTTGAAATAGTCAACTTATGTGTTGTTCAGAGGACATGCATATATGGGTACATTCATTTGCCAGAAATGGATTCTGCTTTTGATTTGTCTGTTATGATTCAGGATTAGTGTGGGTTTGCAAATTTTATTTTCACTGAAATCATAATGATATGACATTTTTGTGGTCTGTATCAAACAAACATGTTTTCTTACATCTGGTGAACAAGATATGAAGACCAGGGCCTCTCTTCAGAACTACAGTACTTCATTATAATCCTGCTTTCTCTATGATTTGCATACTGCATTTGGCCATACTGCGATTTCTCAATCTCTCAGTCTCAATTAATTGCACAGCCCTATTCTATACTGGAGTATAAAGGTAAAAAGTCCTCTTCTGCTTTCTCTGAAGGACATTCATTTCTACCGGCTGTTTCTGTTCAAACCTAACTGAAACTTCAAATACAGTCGATCCTCCCTCTCTTGTTTGTTTCATCTTATTAAGTTGTTTTCGGCATTCTCGTCATGTTACTTCTGTTATGTGTGACATGCACCGGTCTTGTTGGGAAGGCATCCAAAATATATAAATAATAATATTCAATCATTCCCCCTCCAGTGTATTAAAACTTAAGTAACGAGCCTATTCTGAAAATGTCAGGAGTAGAAATACATGTGTAAAAATGTAGGGAGTAAAAGTTAGAAAAATACATACTCAAGTAAAGTACAGATACCTTAAAAAAAAGCTACTTAAGTACAGTAACAAAGTATCTGTATTCCCACCTCTAGAAGCAAATGAACCTGCCCAGTTTACTAGCATATTGTGACAGCAGCAGACAAGCTCAGTGTTTTGGTCTCCGTTTCAGTCGAGTGGCCTTAGCTGCCCCCTGAACTGAGAGACAGAGCTGCTGAACCTTAAACATTCCGTCTGACCACGGAATTCTACCTAATTCACCACAAGACCCACCAAATGTACACAAAATAGCTGTGCAATCACACACACACACACACACACACACACACACACACACACAGCATATATTCACTGAATTTATCAAAAACATACACACAAACCCATTGACCCAATGACCTTTGACCTTGTTGTGTATGTATGTGCCTGTGTGTATGTCTGTCATATACTTCCCCAGCAACTTAGTGGCGTGTGTTGTGTGTGTGTGTGTGTGTGTGTGTGTGTGTGTGTGTGACAGGACCCTGCTCCTGTTGAGCTGACCCCATTCCCCCCAGACTAGCAGGTGGTAAAATAAACAGAGGCAGGACAAAAGAGAAGCCATGGCGGGGCTCTTGTTGTCAAAACAGTGCCTGGATACATGGCAGGCTGCCATCATCAGTCCCATCCATCCCTCTAACCATCCATCCATCCATCCATCCATTCATCCATCCGTCCATCCATCCAGCTCTTTAACCGTCCAGCTGCCAGCACATCTTTCATCTGTCCATAAATCATCTTTTTCTTCCATCAATCTTCCATGGTGCAATGGGAAGTTTTACAGGAAGTTAACTGTCAAACTTCATTATTTTGACTACATGTAAGGTCCACATGGTCCAGTGGTTAGGAGTTTTGTTCTGCAATGTCAATGGTTTGAACCCCAGCACATCAATACCTGCCAAAACAACCTTGAGCTAGATACTTCACAGCTACCTGCTCCCGCAGCATCGCACGGAAAGGCTCCATCTGCAAGCACAGGGTGGAAAGAAAATTTCCCCTCTAGGCCATGAATAAAATATATCAAATCAAAGACTTGAATTAAGAGAAGGAGAGAGGAGGTCCTTGGCAAAAATGACTGGAGCTTCCCAAAATAGATTGGAATTCAAAACAGAGCTCGAAGAGGTCAAAGGAGGTGTCTCCCATCAGCACACATTGCTGTCGCCTCTCATTTGCCCATCTTTTCATCTGTCTTTCTGTCTGGCATTTACAACAGACCTGACATGTAAAAACACACACCTCATGAAATATTCTTCTTTTAAAGATGAAACGTTTTTCTTTTCTTTTTTTTCCCTGACAGCTCCTTCCGTCAAACAATATCAGTGTAATCATCCTGCAGCACTGGGAGATGATTTCATAATGTTTTCTCCCCTCAACTAACACCTTTAGAACATTACACTGACCTCATTAACATAACATCAAAATAGGTTTTACTTCAAAATATTGTTTTAAGATTGTCTTTTTGCAGTGTGTATCATCTAATTCCTTCAGACAAAGGAGGTGTAATCAGTGAGTAACACCCAACCTGCCTGGAGCAACCACTGCACTCCAACAATAACACTACCAAAGTTACTAACAACTACTGCTAACTTACAACTTCCATCCATTATCTCTCTCTCTCTCTCTCTCTCTCTCTCTCTCTCTCTCTCTCTCTCTCTCTCTCTCTTTCTCTCTGTCTTGCTGTGTCACCACATCTGCCAACTCTCCACTTTCTTTTCCAGCTGTTAGCAGATGGAAGTGTCTGTGATGATAATGACAGGAAATATATTCCATCTGCAGTAATAATGGTGTTCTGTGTCTGTGTTCGTGTGTGGATTAAGTTTTCTTTTGTCAGCATGTATTGTATGTCTCAGCGAATACCAAAGAAAGAACAACTAATAAAACATAACAGTTACCTGCCTTTCAAACCCAACAAAGTAGATACATCAATGGGTGATCATGTAAAAGGTGGATTTAAAGTTCAACAACATACTGCAGATGCAGCAGTAGTGTCCTGTTCAGTAATGAGACAAGGCGGATCCTCTGACCTTCGATCCTATCACAGTGTTTTAAAAAAACAGTGAAACAGTTACTGTGTGGAGTATAATTGAAGCAGGACATGGTCTGATCACATACAGTACATGTGTCCTGTGCTGCTAATGCTAATGCTAAATGCTGATGAATCAAAACTGCATTACTGGTCAGTTTAAAGCAGTAAAATGTGTGATTTCTGACAAGTTCACAACTAAAATGCGACATTTTTGCCACAAAGATTGAGATTTTTTGCAATTGTTGCATGCATGTTTTAAAATATTAAGGATATTGCAGATTATAGATGTACAACATTATTCATATAACCAATTTTTTGCCAGTCTCATTTGATGAAAACGCTCTTGAGCCAGTCTATATGTTTAATGACGTACTATGAAAAAGATAGATGAGCTGTATAGAGTTTCACAGAGTTTACAGACACCAGAGAGAGGCCAGCTGTAACGCTGATACAGCAGACCTAGTTATCTCCATACATTAACACTTGTAAGACTTGGCTAGATTAAAGGGATGAACACTTGCTGCTAAATACCACTTTACTTTCCTCCCACGACTCCCACATCTCTCTCACACACACATTCACACAGTCAGATTACAGGTTGAACAAAGTCACCTCCAATCAGCAATGGCATTATTTTCTACATGAGAAAAACGAGGGATAAAAAACTCCCTCAGAACCTTTCCTCTTCCTTGGGTAAAGCCAATACAAGCCACTCCAACAAACAGCTCTGTGTTTTTGGCAACATAACAGTTTATGTCAGGAGAGCCGGCATCTTTAACTTGTCTCTGTATAAACTTTAGCCTCTTTTAAGGTTTCCTACCATGATATTATAAGGCAAATGAGTAAGTGCTTACATGCTGTTAAAGACTAGTGCTGAGCGGCGAGAAGCCCCAAGCTGGTGATTACCGAGCTCCAAAGCACATCTGCACTCCAGCTCAGCACAGAGTCACGTGAGCACAGTGTGTGGTGAGGGGGAAAATCATACAGGAGCAGAGAGGCCCCTCAGGCATCTAACGTATTCAATAGAATCACAATTTCAGTAATTACAGTTTGCTCAAGTGAATTATGTGTGTTTAAAATGGGGTAAGAAATGGGTAGAGAAGAGATTGTAATTTTGGATCTTGGATCAGAGGAAGATGGCACAGTAGACAAGAGCCAAGCAGCAATGACAGGGCATAACATCGGCTGAATTTCTCCTTCTTTAACTTCAAATGACTGTATTATACAGCACACAGCTGCATTCATAAGCCATGTTTCCATCCAAATGTATTGTAACTTCTAACTGAATATTGAATAAATCAACAAAAACTGCAAATGAATTCCTGTTTCCATCCACTACCCTTATACAAGATGGTTCAT